CCCGCGACTTCGTTCGCTTGCGCATTTATCGTAGCCAATCTTTCTTCAAATTGCTACTTTGCCGCAACACTCTCACCTTACATCACTCCTACTCTAACTTCCACTTCCACTTCCACTTCTACTTCCACTTCCACTTCCACTTCCACTTCCACTTCCACTTCCACTCCCACTCCCACTCCCAAAAAGCCAAAGAAAAGTTTAATTGTTCTAGCTTCAAAAACCACGAATTTCCACAAAAACTTTGACCCCTTTTAACCCCTTACAACCCCCTTTTCGCAATAAAAGTAGCCTATGTTCTTTCTAAGGGTCTACCATCTGTGTGCCAAATTTCATTCAAATCCGTTTAGTAGTTTTGGCGTGAAAGAGTAACAGACAGACAGAGTTACTTTCGCATTAATAATATTAGTAAGGATGTCAATATATGTATATATACTAAATTGTCTATTTAAAACATCACATAACTCTTTACGTGCATGTGTCTGTTGCTCCGTACTTCGCTTAAAACACATTAAAAGCGTTCCCTTTCAAAAGAAAAGGTATTGTACGGTGTATTTTTCTCAGGAAGTACGTAGACCGGCACGCTATTATCTCCGTCTAGGGCTGGATTCAAGGAAGCCACTCTTTAAACGCCTTCCACAATTAAAACTGCGATGCCGTTAGAGAGAAGAATGCTTTACGCTTTTATAAAACATTGTTTTATGACGAAACTATTATTTAAGCATGCAGCGGTCGTTTACTAACATTAATAGGACACATTTAACGGTTTAGAACAAGAAATATTAACGGTTAACTCTAAATATAAAATAAATTCTATAATAATTCGCTTCAATGATAATAATAAAACACTTTATTCCGCAAGAAATACGAGAAAATAATTATTTTCATAAAACATTATTGCAAAGGCAGCATTATCGCCTTCGGCGATTTCTTCCAGGCAGCATTTGTTTACAGAAGGACAAAGGAATAAAGAGTAAATGTCAACAAAATAGAGAAAAGCATGCAATAAATACTAACACAACAAAAATCGTATACACTCTATAATGCCAAACTAATGTAGTTTTTTTTTGTTAAATAGTTACATTTATATTTTTTTCCTGTGAGTGTAAGCAATGCTCTGCTTGCCTATAATTGTCTAGTGGTATAGTCGTAAAACTATGCTATAATAAATATATATTAATGATATATACATATATAAATACAAAAAAATTAATGAACTAATTTTTAAATATTTTTTTCTACGGCCCGACATTTTGCGGGGTGGTCACAGAGGAAGTTTTAATGTGTTAAAAATTTTAATTAATCAGCGGAGGTTAAAAGCGGACATTACAGACAAGTTAGGTACAATAGAATATCATAGGCCGCTCTGTAATATTAACAATTTAATCCCGCAGTCCATACAGCCTATTATACCGCCTACCTGAGACCTGGGTATAACAAAAACTAACCGCAAATCGCTCTAAAATGTACATGACAAAGCTACATACAATATTCAGACACATTGCGCTACATAAATTCAGGATCAAAATTTCTGCAGAGCGACACCGCCTTACATGTTTTATTGAATGAAAATTACATCGACTTCGTTCTTTGAGAAGTTCGTGGAGAGAAATTTGTATCAATAAATTTGTTTTTATATAGAAAACACTTTCAGGCTCTTGTTGAATTATTTCTTTTTATAAAATTATTCTACTTTTATAGGACAACCCTAATTGGTTAAAAAAATAATATACAAGGAAATTTACATAGAGTAGATCTCAAAATGTGATGATTTTGAGAAAAACATTCTATAAATCTAAACATATTATTTTTTTTCAGGCTGTTCGACCGACGTGAGCGAGCAGAGGTTCTCGAGGTTTCGCCATCATGTGCAGACGACATCATCAGGAGATGGTAACTCCTCGATTGTTCGAAGAATTATAATTCTTAATGATATACTGAACGATGACCGTGAAAGCCTTACACAATGTATTCTTAATCTAAAATCGATAATATAAATAATGCTATCATGTGCAATAAAATGTGAAAAATATTAAAGTTTTCAAACGTTAAACTAAAGTAATAAATGTTTGGGAGTCATCAAATACCACAATCATACTATTATGTCGTACCGTAGCTCTTCTGTTTTTACGCAATATTATAAGGATGTCATACACAGTAAACTATATCTTATCTATCGCTTGCCATTAAACATAGTGTATTTTATATGTTAGTATGTTAAATGAAAAGCTCTCTTTAGACCCTCACATACATTCTTCAAAATTACTTTCGCGTCACACAGTAATTAAGAATTACTAATGTAATTATTTTCTAATTAACATCGTCAACATTAGGATACAGTGAACAAAATCCTAACTCAATTATTTTCTTTGGTGTGCTAATTACTTTTTGTTGCAAAGAATGTATAAGATGAAATCCCGTTTTCTCTAGGGATAAATAGAAATTTGTGTCTGTAATAATAATACTTATTGCTACTTATTTTTACAGATAATAACTTAGACAAAAGAAATGTTAGTGGTACAAATATTGTTCGACAAAAGACGTGCTCGGTGGTCTACGGTAGCATGTATGGCTTATACTCAACGGGCCATGGGTTATTCCCATCGGATCCAACATGTTTCCAAATCTTCGATTAATATCTTTTTTGCAACATACTACTACGTCTGGTAATCTGGATATTAAATTGGTGGTATAAATATCAAAATTCCGTCCGCGTCACGAACCACCATCCACAGATGAATAAGCCGTGACGTTTATTCGCGTTTCGATTTTAGTCTGTGGTTGTCTGAATTTCTAAAGCTAAAATAGGTCGACCGAGCTTCTTGTTAAATGTTATGTGGCTGGAGAAGTTATCCACCCATCGTGTGAACTCCATGTTTGTCTGTCCTACTCTCTATATTAAAAAATACAATAAAGCCATGTAATTCAATTTCGTGTTTTCAGTTTCAGTCTATAGATTTCTGAATGTCTACAGTCAAAAGTGTTCGACAGCGCGTTTTGTTATAAAATGTATTTTACCTACCATCAAATGAATATCATGCACCTCTATTCTCCTCTGTAAAAATGATTAAGAAAGAGTGAATAAAACGTTAAGTGACAATTGGACAAATTGATAATTGTATAATACAAATCTGTGTCAAATTAAAAATACGTTAAACTAGGAATTCACAGACTTATTAAGACTAGGGGCCACTCCGGCCAGCGGTCACCAGAAGTATAGATAATTAAAGACAATAAAGAATTGATAATAATGTTATTAAAAAATAATTTATTAATTTCAAGTGTGGCACTGCATCACTGCTTTGAACAGAACACGGTTAACGGTTCAAAAGGTGAAATATATTAATAAGTAAATTGTCTACTAGTGTTTAAATTTATCTATATCCAATCTCATAAACAGATAATTAAGAAATTCGCTCTCTTAACGCGTCAACTGAACGAAAATAAGGAATTCTTACCAGCATTTCATAATATTGTCAAAACACTAAAATATACATCATTGAGTATTTAGGTCCATAAGTTATGGAGATAACAACTTATCATAAGATAACATCACAACAGAGTTATGAGGGTATAGACTGTCTTTTGTTAAACTGTTAGTTTAATTGAGTTTCAAAGTGTCGTTTGCAGCGATAGACATTATTAAAACTAAGTCTTAATCTATAGGTACTAAAATATTTAGACGTAGAGTTTGTTTATACATCGTTCCTAGCGAAAAATTAGCGGGAACAAATAAAAACAAACGGAGAAACTTATTCGTCCCTGTAGGTTTCCTTTATGCCTAATTAAGTAACTTAGTTAAGATAGTAATAAAAATGTATAGGATAATGTCTCTTTAAATTATCTAAAAACAACAATGTATATTATATATATATAGTATATAGGTTAAACTTTTTTTTTTTTTATAATCAAGCTGTCACGCAATCTTTTTTATCACTTAATTTCCATTTCATCACGAGTCGCTTGGACAGAGCTAGACGAATTAGCTATAAAGTCCCGTAGTCCTTAATTTCTAAATTTTGATATTTTTTTTAGTTGTTGTTTTGTTTTGTGACAATGAGAATATTTGAATTTATATTTCGTATCTGTATCCGTTCCGTAGAAACTCTATACAACGTTGAGGTGCATTTCCCAACAAACTAAAGATTAATGATATATAATGAAAAAAACGCTGTTTCACTTATAATTAAAAAAACACACTTTTATCTTGTTTTAAACGAGAAATATATTAGTTAGCTAATGTAAGTACGGCCGACGTATCAGGTGTATCGCATAAATTGACATATATATTTCGCGTTTTAGACCCTTTATAAGTGGTTTATTTAAATTTGTACTACTCGTTTTAACTACAACATTTACAATTTAACTAAGAATCTATTATAATTATTTGTTGTACAAAAAACAAACACAATATAAGTTTCAAGTAACTCGAATAAATTAATGACCTTAAATGATCTTTTGATTGTTTAATTCATCTAAAACATATTAGTTCATTACAAAAAAACATTTATATTGAAAGAATTGCCGACGCGGTTGGGCATTGAACTAAAATCATAAAATTAATAAAAAAAGCAAGTCCAAATATTTATTAATCTATTCCTTAAAAAGGAATTGATACAGATAATAAAGATAAAGTTACCGATATTATTAGGATTTGATTTAACGTTAGAGTTTCCTTTTAGTTACGTTCTGGTGTTGTTGTTTTACGGATTTCGGCTTTTTTTAGAAGTGATGGTTGCAAATTTGTATTTTTTTTAATAAAACACTTTAACGGTTTAAAACGCGATTAATTAGTTAAACTTATTTGAAAATGATTTTTAACTTCGTTAGTCTCCCCGTGACCACGGCTGCTGCAAAGCATCCGAAACGTCGGGCCGAAGTTAAAAATAATTTCCAAATAAGTTTAACTAATATATCGCGTTTTAAACCGTTAAAGTGTTTTATTTAAATGTGTACTACTCGCGTAAACTATAGACAGTATTTCATTTGTATTTACTTCGATTATGGACCGAGGTTAGTGAATTTTATCGATAGATAATATTGTAATTATTCATGTCAAAATAAAAGTAAATCATTTTGGTATTCACGTCGATACACTTATGAACGTCACACCAACTCCTAAATACACAACGAAAACGATACAAAAATTAAATATATGCTCATGTCGGCCGAACAGCCCGACAAACTATGATATGCTGAACGATGGCCGTGAAAGTCTTACACAATTTATTAAATATTGGTATGTTGTTTATAATCCGGTCACATACATTAATTTAAGTACTTACTTTTTATTTTATGACTTTTTTATTTTATTTTATTATTACTTTAATACCAAAGTGCCAAAATAAAAAATGTGTACATAATACCAGGTTGCAAAAACTACCACTGTCTGACTCGTTTGTCTAGTGATAGCAGTATGCCGAGAAACTAAAGTGTCCTGCGTTTGATTCCCATATTATTTTGTATATTTGGAAATATTACCTCAAATCTGTATATTAAATGGATGGTAAGAATATCGAAATTCAGTGACCAAGAACCACAAATGGAAAAGGCGTGAAGAGTAGTATAGTAGAGAGATTCGGTTACAGTCAATCATCAGCTATCAATTAAATGTTATGAGGATAGGGCATTCTGACAACGGAAGTCCAAGCTTGGTCATCGTTCCCATATAAAAACATTCTAATTTTAAAAGTACCCGCCCGTCCATTTTAAGTAAAATCCTGTTTTCCCTCAGGGGCATAGGGCGAACACATTTATGTGTCCGTTTCCCTAATCTGTTTTATTTACAGACAAGTAGTTGATCAGACTTCTATGCCGTGCTCGACTGCAATAATCGATTCTTTCTCTGGGGAACTTTACAGCTACAGAGGTTTTCCACGCTATTCAAACACTTCTAAAATACTTTGTTATTACGTAGGTCTTAGAACCTTTATTATATATGGAACTATATGTTTCATTGGAGTACACGCCTTCAGCGATTAGTAAAATGTTGAAACATATTAAATAAAAAATCCAACATATAAATTGCGCGCCTCAACGCTCATTTTGCCAAATAACGCTACAATACGGCTAGTGACGTCACGACCTTATATTGTCCATTAGTCTATGTCCATCATACGATCTACAATCTACATGCATTTTGTACCAAACATTTTCATTTTAACAACGATTGAGGTAATTTATTTATTCATTAATGCAGAGAATAAAAAAGTTTAAAGACTAGGAAGCACGGTGGTTTATAGCACTGTTAATAAGCAAGTGACGTCATCATAAATCCGACCTGTTTTGTGTGACACATGTTTAAATTTTTTTTTATCGGTTTATTTTTAACATATTTCACTGTTTTACTATTAATCTTAAAGTAATTGACGCTATATTTTTCGCATTGTCAAATAGCCTATTACGAACTCGTTGTTAAGCTTTTACACCATTAGTCGTTTAATGGAGTAGATAAACTTCAGAAAATCAAAGCTAAGCGACGATAACATTCGGGTCTTATCACTCGTTATACGTTAATAAATATCGCTAAACAATGAGTGGAAAATCAGTAATAGTCGTTTATTTTTGGTATATAACTTAGTATACTATTTTTACTATTGAAAGTAAACGAAACGTATTTTAGTATGTTTTTTAATGTTCTCCTCAAAATAATATTCTCAACACTTTAATTTTACTTTGAAATATAATATATAGAATAATAAATAATGATTTAAATATAATACTTTATTTCTATTTACTTTCTTTGCTTCATAATTGTTCTTGTATATACAGTTTCTTTGTTGTTATAATTTATATAATTTCTAGTCTACTTAAAAGGAAGCTTTGAATTATTAAAGAGCGTTTTGAACCGTTCAAAGTTTGTTTAAATGTGTATTGCTCGCGTAAAATACGAAAACTACTCTCTACGGTTTACATTCTTGTTAAATAACTTCAAGTGTATACTTCAAAATGACTTCTTCTTCCAGATATAGAGCAGGGCTTACCACGAGAACAGGAACATTCACCATTACTAAGCACTAACACAGGCGAAGCACAAGCCCAGAATGAAAATAAAAGTAATCATGACAGGTAATAATTGATAATGTAGTTTTTAAAATGATGAATGATGTAAGTTTTAAAATGTAACTTTGATTACTGTCGCACATGTGAACCTAAACGTAACATGTACAATGTACATACTATTTTCAACTGAAAAGAAATAGGTTTAAGGAAATAACAGAGATAAAATAAAAACAAACAAAACATACTTTATTGTCATACGAGAAGGAGATATAGAAAAAAGAAACAAAAGAATTTGTTGTATATTTGAAATCGACTAGTTGTTATATGTTGCTGTATGTAAATATGATATAACTATTTATTTGTGTGAAATCCCGTTTCCCCTCGTGGGGCATGGGCGAACGGGCGTTTTTTTTCAGCAAGATTTGATCAGACTTCTGTGCCCTGCCCGACCGAAACAATCTATTCTATCTATCCCCGGGATTCGAACCCAGGACCTCTCGCGTTTTACACACTGCTAGGCAACACGTTTTACCAATTAGCTACAGAGGCGGTCCTCTGAATTATTAATTTATGAGGACATAAATGGCTAGCTCCATTCATTACATAGTTCAACTAGTTAGTTAATAAAACAAAAAAAAAATATTACGAAAGCGACATGAAAACACACACAAATGTGTTCGTTTGTATATATGATTATGTATGAATGAGTGTGTGAATTTAAATGCCTCCCTTAACTTGATCACCTTAACAAATCATAATTACAACTGTTTAGAACTGCCATAAATTTTAAGCAACAAATCTGTAGTTTATAAATTGATTTAAAAAAAATTTTTCCACATGGACTGGACTTGAACCGGTCTCCACAGCGGTCCGTGCTGTTACTCTAACCAATTGAGCCACTGTGTACTACGTCATATTTTAATTATTTCAACTTATTGTTGCAAGCATCTCTCGCAATGCAAAATACAAAATTTACAACACGAGCAAGACTTGAACCGTCATCCACAACCGTGCGTATTGCTCTAACCAATTGAGCTACCGTGTCATTATCGTTGGTTGTATCAACAGCCAACAGCACGAGAGACCGTGGATACTTTTTTATGTCCTGTCCGTTTCGTAAATTTTTTTAATCTAAAATCGATAATTTTTTACATTATCTTATGTGCCAAATATTAAAGTTTTTAAGATTGTGGCTGTTAGGCAAATTTAAAACATAGATTGTGTCGTTGTAAATTACTTTGCTATATATTCGTGTTCTTCGGTTTCTAGGAAACCTAAACACCCAGCTCTGCAGATCCTCGCAGATCCATCATCAGTGCTATCGACTCCAAACTCCTCGCCACTATCTGAGACTGCCGAGTTTCCGAAGAAATGGAGACGGAGCGACCGCCGCACGAGACGTCTTAACACCGAGCTACTACAGGCAATAGAATCACATAATGTGGAGGAAGTTGAAAAGTATGTTAGTTTGAGAACACAACATAGTACAACATTAACTGTGCCAGCGACTTTGTCCACGAAGATTACTTATTTTGGGCGTCAAAGTTTGTTTTCTTAAATCTTCTCCTCAACTTATTTTATAAATTATATCGTCTATGCAAGTTAATCTTATTAGATAGGCATATACTATTGCTGACATTTTTTTAGTTCATTTAAAGAGGAATAATTCTTTCATACATATTTTTTAAGTATCCTGAACCGTTTTCACAGCACACGCAATGGAACTCAAAGATTTTCTCCGTTTGTTCCATTTTTTCCACCATTCCTTCGCACCTATTAGTTGCAGCGTTATGTTTTATAGCCTTTTTTTATGGGGTTTGAATACGAAGGAACAACAGTTAACTGCAGATGGAAGACATAATAATTAAAACTATGTTATTTAAACTTTTTAACTTTTTGACGTGCTCTTTAGTCATGAATGGGCTTTAATGAACGTGTCGAGGGTTCGACCCCCACAGGACCAAAAAAAAACTTAAATCAATTTATAGTTTTTAAATAACGTTGGTCTCGTCTGTAATATTAAAATCGGTCGGGTCACGAACCGTCCACACCGTCTATATCCATAAAATATATCTTAAGGATTATCTGTAGTTTACGAGAGTAGTCTTAAAAAACTTTGACGGTTTAAAACGCGAAATGTATCTTTTGCAGATTATTAAAAGCCGGCGCAAATCCCAACGCGACATGCCGTTTAAGCATGGTATCGGCCTGCCACATAGCCGCGCTAACTGGCGGAGACGCCCTAAGCCTTCTGGTCAAGTATGGAGCAGAGAAGCATCGGTTGGATGAATTGGGAAGGACGCCTCTTCATCTCGCCGCATATGCGGGAAACGCTAGACAAATGGCCATACTTTTGGGGTTTTCTGAAGGTGAGTTTGGATGTTAAATATGTAAAGAATACTCTAACCAATTGAGCTACCATGTCAAATACTATCTGTAGCTTATGTGAGTAGTACACATTTAAATAAAACACTTTAACTGTTTAAAAACTTATATGGGAAACGTCGGACGGTAGTTAAAATAATTTCTTATTTAGACGAATACATATCGAGTTTAAAACCGTTAAAGAGTTTAAATTAAAAGATACCAGGTCAATTAGAGTAGCAGTAAGGAATGAGTGGTGTTTGGATTATATTCTTAGGCACATGTGATGATGTAACGATACACCACGGAACAATATAACGTTTAGATTAAATTTTAAGATTGTATAGAAATTGTATAATGCCAAGCTCGTAAGTTAGGTAGTAAAGACTGACGTAGTTCAAAGAATTTTCAAATAAGTTTAATGATTCGCGTTTTAAATCGTTAAGATATTTTATTTAGACATTGTACCGATCAATTATTTATTTGTATTATTGAAGTTTCTCTTTAACCCACAAACTTGCTACAGCCATTTTCAATTCAAAACTAGATTTCAATTTATTTGTAGAAGCTGTTCAAGTTGCACTGTCACGTCCCGTAAGCTAATTCCGCGAACTGACACTCAAAACAATATGATATCCTCATAGGTAAAATAAGTTGGATAATAAATAGTAGAAGAAACTTCCGCATACAAATATTTTACTCAACTAGAACAAAAACCCGTTTCCATTGCTTACGAAACTTTTCATATTAAGCTTGCTCTTGCTCGAGAGGAAATTGTGCTATAGATTCAAACAAAACCCCACTCGGTGACATTAATGAGTTTTCAAAAATATTTAACTTGCTTACGGCGGCGAATTTACTTGCGGAGACACAAATAAGACTATATTTTTCAAGCCTGGGCGAAGTTCTTCTCTGTCACAGGAGACTTGGGTTAAAAGCTCCTACCTACCACTTAGTGGCAATGCAGGTTGTATATTACGCCTCTAAATTAGCGATTATAATCGGTACCGACAGCTTAACGCTCTCTTCGTACAGAAATAACGAAAAGTATTTTTTACATTATGGTCAACAATAACTTGTTAAACCTAATCACCTTGAACTAAACAAATATCGCTTTTTGCCCCTAATTATAAATATACCCTTTTTCGTCTTGTATTAGTGCTATTTATTTATAATAGTTGATTATGATAATCCAATATAAAATGTTGTAAAAACTAGCAATTTAAGAGCTATGATTTGATTCAATTAATCATAAAGTCATTTTTCTCATTTAAATAAGCACCAGCAGTTGACAAATTCACAGTATCTTTTAACTATAGACCTAGTTTCTTCCCGTGACTACGGCTACTGCTAATCTTTAATTCATTAAACGTAATTTATTTTAATGTAGTCTGTAGTTTGTAGTTCTCGCTTACTACAGACAATACTTCGTTTTTCCCTTTCAACATTTTCAACAAACAGACTCACCTTTAGAATATTATTTTAATAATATCCGACGAGCACGTAGAAAAGTAACTGAAACGTAATTTTACCTTTGAGATTGATGTATTTTTGCATTCAGAAATACAGAGCTACAAAATAGCTTTGCGTCTGTATCGTGTTTGGTCCCGTTTGCGTCTGCACAAATCCTTTTTGCAATTACATTTGATTTATCCCTCTATGTGATGATCTCATTAGTGTCGAAACGCCAGATCCGTCGTGGATTCGTTTACTAGCAGTTTTAGCTTCTTATATTTTTTACTTTAGATGTAGTAGATACGCGAATGAATAGAACTTGAAAGAAATTAGAGGAAAGCTTTGTCAAACAAACAACATTGAAAAACTTCTACTTCTTAATAAATATAATAAAAGCATGTCATGTTATAATGTAATTTAATAGATGCAAAGTTAAATGAATACTGGCATTTTATCGGTGAAACGTGTCATAACTTGGTCAGTGAGTAAAAGACTATTTATTTATAGATACGCCTGTTGTATAATTCATTAATTATAAAATAAATATTGATGACACTTATTGTAATATTTCACAAAAACAAACCAATTTAGTTACCTCAATTACCAGTCATTATGTAAAAACTATAACTAATAATCCCAAAAAATACTTAACACTAATTATTCGCTTCCGTTCAAATAGAATTCAATTAATACAATAAAAGTAATTTCAAATTTGTCAGGTCAAGATCACTGAAAGAGATTTTTTTTTAATAGAACATCGACAAATATATCCTAGCTTATACCTTCACTAGTGAGTTGACTTTTGTTGTATATTTGGAAAATTCAGGATTTTCTCATTACAACAATCAAATGAAATTCGTGATCTGGTGCTACAACCGCTTCTGTCTTCTTGGAAACAAGACGTAAGACCATCAATTCGTCTGTAACATCCTGAAAACAATAGACGAATCAGATTTTTTTTTCCGAATTTAAATGAAATATTTTATCCATCCATCCTTACAATCCATTATTGTCATATAAGTATACTCGTTTTACGAAGAAGACTATATTTGAAAACTTCTACATTTTAAACATTCCGTTGTGTTGCCCTAACCAACGGAGTCCAAGCTGGAGATGCCGATTCAAGTCCTGCCAATTCCAATGCCAAGTCCTGCGATTTTTCTTTCGATTTTTAATATTATTTAACACTATATTTCTTAATTATTTATCTAACCGTCACCTAATATCCGTTAATATCTTATAGTGAAATCTAAGCTTTAGTTATATTACGAGCATGTTTTGGCCTGTTCCAATGGGTTTTTAATTATAGACAAATCAGACACTGCCAATATAAATCAATTCATCCTTTGCCTGGAATTCGAACCCAGGAACGATGATGTGAAATTGAATTAAATTATAAAATATTTGAATATGGAGGCTGGAGCTGGAGCTGGGCTGGAGTTTAGTAAAATTATAATCTGCTTAGGAGAGTGCCTTACAATTTCTTTAAGAGCGTTTGTAGCATGATGGGATAGATTGCGCATATGCGTCGAATATGTGGCCGCTGTCAAGCTGTCCAGGGTCGTGGTCTCCGGAAAACCTTCGCAGTTTACAATAATCGTGCCAACCACATTTCCGTTTTCATTTATTCTTGTCATCGTGTTCGTAGCTAGGGGACCCTGAAACAAACAAATACGTAATCTATACTTCTATACTCTAGTAGAAGTAACTACTGGTTTGAACTGAAAAATTATTTGTGCGAGAGCTGTTTTCGAGGATCGCTTTAGAATAGAAAACACCACGAAGCCACGAAACAGTGGGAGACATGGAAAAAAAGGGAAGAATTATTCGTTTTTAGTCTTAAAAAATAGACATATATCGGAGAAATTTTCTTAGACATTTCATTTAAATAAGAATATTTTTGTTTGGGTATCTAGATGCGATAATTTCGTATCAAGATGAATATTAATTTCCCCGTCCTTTCCACATTTATCTTAGTTTATTTCCTATAGGCCGTAGTTCCTGAGATTAGCGCGCTTAAAGAAACAAACAAACTTTTCAGCTCATTGGTACATAGTAAAAGATACCAAAATTCGAGATAACACCAATAAAATGTTTACTGTGCGCAAGCACGTCAAAAATTACGATATTTCAGCACTTACCATAAAATTCTGCGTTATCTCCATGATTCCACACTAAAAAGTACCCCCAAGGCTTAATAAAATCTCGAAATTTATTAAATTCGCTTACAAAACGCTTTGACGAGTCTAATTTGATTCCGTTAGATTCGGTAATTAATTTATTCTTCCATGTCAAAATCGAGCAATTTAGATTCGGCCAGTGCGATATTGGTAGACAGAATAAATTTAAATAAAACACTTTAACGGTTTAAAACGCGATATATTAGTTAAACTTATTTGAAAATGATTTTTAACTTCGGCCCGACGTTTCCCCGTGACCACGGCTGCTGCAAAGCATCCGAAACGTCGGGCCGAAGTTAAAAATCATTTTCAAATAAGTTTAACTAATATATCGCGTTTTAAACCGTTAAAGTGTTTTATTTAAATGTGTACTACTCGCGTAAACTATAGACAGTATTTAGACAGAATAAAATCATAATACACGTTCGTATAGTGTGTAAAATTAGGCATAGAGTATATGGCGTCTAACTTCTAATGGGATGCATCGCTTAGTTACGTAACGCATTACGGGGGTTCTCTATGTTTCAATTAAAATATTAAATGAACTATTTACCATTTACCGAGAATTGTTTAAATAATCCATTCTGTCTGGCGTCTCTAGCTTTACTTATATGTTATTATATTACCAACATTACGAAGTACTAAAAAATATATGTAATAGGTGAAAAGCCGGATAGTTGCCCTACTTCAGGCAAAATAAAAGCTAAATAAATCAAAAACAGGAACTTGCTGGAAATTATTTAGTATGTATAAATATAGGCTTTTATTTATTAAAACAATGTTTTTGTAAGACAGTATTTATTTCTTTTAATTAAGACGATAGCTTATAGGAAGGATGATTATAAACTTTCATGACTCACACAATCCACACACTTTAGGACAGTTTTCTCCAGTTACTCCTGAAAAAGTAACTAAAATAATAAATAACCTTAAAACTAATTGTAGTATGGGAATTGATCAAATTAGTGCTAAAACTATCAAAAATATAAAAAATGTTATTTTAATCCCCTTAACTAAATGCATAAACAAAAATCTAGAAAGTGGTACTTTCCCAGATTCTCTAAAGGCTGCCAAAGTGACGCCAATACATAAAAGTGGATGTAAAATGGAACCTAATAATTATAGACCCATTTCAGTATTGCCAGTTTTATCTAAAATATATGAAAAAATTATACATACAAGACTGAGTGAATATTTGTGTAGCATACATTATCTTAAGAACAATCAATATGGATTCAGAAATAAAAACTAATACTCTTGCAGCTACTATTGATCTAGTTACAGAAATAAAAACTAATATTGATAAGAAACACGTTGTACTTGGAGTATTTATAGACTTAAAAAAGGCGTTTGACACAGTGAGCCATAATTTACTAATTCAAAAACTAGAAACTGAGCTTGGTTTAAAAGATAAAGCACTAAGTATTCTAAAATCCTATCTTACAAATAGAACTCAGTTTGTAAAAATGGGCGATTGTTTAAGCAGCTTAACTGGTGTCAATTTTGGTGTTCCACAAGGGTCAATATTGGGTCCATTACTGTTTCTAATTTACATTAACAGCATTAATGAAATAGGCCTAAAGAGAAGAGTTACTTTATATGCAGACGAACGTGCTTGTTTTATTTTAATCACAACATAGCAACGTCTATAAAAGAAGCTCAAGCTGACCTGTGTCTATACAGATGGTTTTCAAGTAACTTCCATCTTCTACTAATTTCTTATATCTGCAAAAATAAAAAAACCATGCTCCACAAACTGGACCTAATAAATCTGTCATGAAAAATTCTAGGTCTTTTTGACAACCATTTAACTGTCACCCCATATTGATAACCGGTCAAAACTTCTCTCTCAGGGTCTCTCCAAAATTGCAAATTCTTACACATAATAAAATTTATTATTCATTCACTTAGATATCTTATAGAAGTATGGGGTTCCACCACCAATCTAAACGCAGTTCAAGTTCTCCAAAACAAATCTTAAAATCTTTATTTGAATTAGATTATTTTACACCCTCTGAAAAAGTTTATACCGGAATCAAAGTATGCAATTTCCTTTCTACTTCTCATTCATAAAATACTCACAAACAAATACACTCCCAAATAACAATTTCCAAAAATTGCTCTAATCGCTCACTTAGAGGATCCAGGCAATTCAATATTATCCTACCGAAACCACGTACAATACGGGAAAAAATATTCTCAAGGGGTTAAACTTTATAATTCGTTACCAAAGTCCATAAAAGACATCAGTACTTACAACTTTCAAAAAAATTTTGAAAACCAATTTTAAAAGGTCCTAAATTTTAAGGTTAAAAAGTTATATTTTATAAACGTGTATATTTCTACTAAAAACAAAAATTTTAAAAAATTATTAAGTTTATATAAAATATTTGGTAAAAATCGCATCTGTAAGCCCACCTTAAAAGTAATTACCTGACGTAAAACACATCGTCTACAATTCACAACTCAAATTGTCTACCCTCGTATATTTAAAAGTTTGCTTTATGTTATTTTAAACTCGCAATGCACTGAACTGTAAGTATTTCATATAATAAGCTATGTATATTCTCATAAGTGATTGTATATATAATCTTCGAGAATAAATTCTTTAAACCTAAACCTATGTGAAATATATTATAATATTTTATTTTCTAGATATGCAAAATATCGTAGACGATGAAAACATGTCCAGCGAAGCAGAAGAAGACATCAAAAAGCTCTGTCCTGAAGTTCAAGCGATGGTAAACGTTCGCTGTGATATGGGTGAAGTACGACAGACTCTGCCTAACATTTGGAAGGATAATATCGACCACAATTGTCTCAGCATTAAGGGCTCTGTAAGTTTCTTCGTGAAAAATCAATTACACAAGAGCAATTATAGTTTTACAAACAACATTCTTTCTTTAAACTATTTATAATGTTACTAATATTAATTAGATTAAATAGTATAATAAAGTAGCTTTGTCTGTCTGTCCGGCTTCAACTCCGAAACTACTAAACTGATATAAATGAAATTTGGTACACCGATATTTTAAAGCCTGAGAAAGGACATTGGCTACTTTTTAATGCCAAATAAGGGTTGGGGGCTTAAATAGGGGATGAAAGTTTGTATGGAAACTCGTGGTTTTTTAAGCTAGAATGAAACTTTGGCTTTTTGGTTATAGGAGTGGGAGTGGTAGTGCGACTGGGAGTGAGAGTGGAAGTGAGTCTAGGAATGAGAGTGGGAGTTAGAGTAGGAGTGATGGGAGGTGAGGGTGTTGCGGCAAAGTAGCACTTACAACATAGATTGGCTGCCTTAAATGAGCTCTTACAAAAATTGTTTATTAATTAAAAGCCTAAATAATAAAAAAATCTACCCCAAGCCAATTCGACGCGGACGTAGTCGCGGGCACAGCTAGTATCTCATATGTTTATAATATGCAATAGTTTTTTCCGGGACCTCTGATTTTTTCTCTTTCCTTCAATCTTTAAACGAGAGAGAGAGAGAAATAGAACACAAAACATTTAGTTGACTCTAGTAATTTTTATGTAAATACTATTATATAAAATAACTAGTCTATACAGTTTATGACTGTCATATAATTATGAATTCCAGCTACCACTACTCCAAGGAGGTTGGACACCATTACATGTGACTGCATCTTGTGCTCGTCGCCATTGCACAAGGTTACTTTTAGCAGCCGGAGCTAATCCAAACGTCACTGATGAGGAAGTTCGAACAGCTCTTGATGTCGTTGGATCGGCACATTACCATGATCAAGAAATTGATCCTGTCAAGTAAGAATTTCATAATAAAACCCAATACAAAAAGAAATCCCATTCCTCGTATGAGCATGGGGCAGTAACATTTCTGTGTCTGTTAATTTTTTGTGTTCCCTGCCTTACCGGAATAGTTTCTTATTTTACTAAGTTTGTATCTTCTTCACATTTTCACATATCTACAGTTTAAATTTGCCTTATGTTTTCAGTTTGCCAGCAGTAATTAAAATATTAGTAAAATCCGGCGCAACAACAAACACCATGAAACCAAAAGGACTTAGCGATATAGATACACCTCTCCATACAGCCGTTGAACTTGGAAATATGGATGCCATTATGGAACTGCTCGCGATAGGAGCATCAGTTGACTGCTTGAACTCCGAAGGACAGACTCCTATGCACATTTGTATTATAAAGAAACTACAAGAACCCCTGCAGGTAAAGCCATCCCTTACATAAAACATCTACCATTACTCGTTTCTCCAAGTAAAACTGGAATGATCTTCTGTTATTGTTATTATATATGTGATTATTCGACCCAATTCCAGATATGAATAAGTAATGTAATTTTTAAACATTGTCTAATTTTGACGTCATATTAAGATGTCTAAACTTAATGAATGTTAAAAATATGAGTGAAATTAAGTATGTCTTAGAATGTACTTGTTTCAATTTTAGGTATTGGCAAACTATGAATATTTGAATGCTGATCCACATTCAGCTGTTGTAGACGTGAAAGACAAGGAGGGTTATACGGTACTTCAAGAAGCAATTGATAAAGCCTGGTTGCCAGGTGTATGTATTGCTTTAGAAGCTGGAGCAAATGTTACTCTCAAGGTATAATTTTCTTTCTACTATAGACTCTTTTGTGCTAAATCCTTATTGCATGGCTAACTCTTTTTTTGTTTTTTAGGCAAATGACGGCGAAACACCAGTTCATTCGGCAGCGGATTTAGGAAATTTGGACGTGCTTCTAGAAATACTAAGTGTTGCTAAACAAAAGGGTATTATTGATTGCCAAAACGACGAAGGCGAGACCCCATTGTTCAAAGCTATCAAAAATGGGCACCTAGACTGTGTAAACGCACTTTTAGAAGAAGGTGCTTGTATCAAAATTAAACTTCCTGGTGAAATTAACGTATTGCATAAAGCTGCAGAGTATGGACACACCGAAATCTTGAAAACGTTATTGGAACACAATAATGGAGAGATATTACCTATGATTAATTCCCTTTCTACAAGTGAGTGGAGAGGCTTTGGTCCTATTCATTTCGCTGTTATGAGTGACAGTGTTGATTGCGTAGAGCTGTTATTGTCTAAAAATGCCGATATAAGACTAAGAACCACTGACAGCCCACACTTTTCTTCAACTTCCTTGCATCTTGCCGCTGTAAAGAACTATGCAAATGTCGCCCGATTCATAGTAAATGTGGATAAAACTACCATTCACGAAGTTAATAGCAAAGGATGGTTCCCACTTCATTCGGCAAGCCACCATGGAAGTAGAGACGTCATAAAAGTATTACTCCAAGAGGGAGCCAATTTATCTGGATATACTGATGGACCCAAAAAGTTACGACGTTCAGCGATCGACATGATTATAAATACTTTATCGAATCCGACAGAATTCTTGGAAGAAGTATTTGATTCTTACATAAAATCGAACAATGTCAACTTTCACGATCCAAATTGCGAGATAACTGTCGATTATAGAATACTAATGCCCACAGTTTGCGAAATGGAGCAGATGAAAGTCATTGAAGGTCTTCTGAAGACCGGCAATAGATATGGTCAGAAGAAATTGCTTGTTCATCCACTAGTGGAGAGTTTCCTTCATTTAAAATGGAAGGTTTTACAACCGTTTTTTTACATCATAGTCGTGTTTTATTCTCTGCTAGTATGTTCCTTGACTATATTTACAGTTAGTGTCTTCTATTATAAAGATACAGCAAGTCAGCCGCCTGCGTTCCTGAATCCTAGTATATGGGCGTACGTTATATACGTTTCTGTTGTTTTAATAATATTGCAGGTAATTAATACCATTAGAAACAAAACAAATGAGATATAAATGCACGTAGAGGTTATTTATTTAGTTTGCACTATTTATGTATATACTAATGAATAGTTGTGGGAAAACAATTACTTAAAGTTTTTTAACTTGTTTTTTATACTTATTATTACTTACCTTTATTTAATATAGTCACTATTACCAAGAAAAAAAGTTGACAAATTCTCTCAGGCGTACATTACTTGTATATGCTTTCAGGAAATGCTGTACACCAACATTAAAAGCAAGCGACATTTGTTCCAATTGGAAACCTGGGTTAAATTTGGGTCAGTTGGACTTGCTATGGTTATACCTTCCGCTATAAAATTAGCTGGTGAAGCAGTTTGGCCACGACACGTCGCTACGCTAGCTCTATTATTTTCTTGGATAGAGCTTATGTTCTTACTATCACGGTTCCCAAGTTGGGGTTACTATGTTTTGATGTTTGGAAAAGTAGCGATGAATGTTATAAAAGTACGTATAGTCTCACTAAGAATTTAACGCTGGTAAATTCTTAAAGTAATTATGAAATATTATACGTTTCAGATTTTACTGACCTTCGCTTTCATAATAATTGGATTCTCCTTGAGTTTCATGATCCAATTCCATACACAGATACCGTTTGAGAGCCCATGGGCGGCTTTGGTCAAAACCTTAGTAATGATGACGTCAGAGTTCGACTATCAAGCTCTATTCGATAAGGAAAATTCCAGGGAACTTGCCATGTCTTTGATCGTTGTTCGTTTTATATTTTTATTGTTTCTTATTTTAGCGGCCATTGTTTTAATGAATTTAATGGTCGGTGTTGCCGTTAGTGACATAAACGACTTAGCGTTATTAGGAAACATCGATAGACTGAGTAAACAAGTACAATTTCTTTGCACACTGGACAATTTGGTATACAATCGAGTTTTTACCTTGATTCTGCCCAATAGACTGATAGAACACATAAAGGAGAAACGAAGGGTAGTCAGTACGTTGATCATACCGTCTCCCGGTAAGCCTAAGTGGAAATATTATAAGTTAATACCGTCACACTTGCGAGAGGCCATCCTAACAATAGCTCTGGAGAAAATGAAACAGAAAGACGAGGAAATCAATCTAGAAGTATTCAAGACGAAAATTGACGAGATGCATTCGGCCATAATTTGTCTTCAGGTGAGGAAAGAGAAAGAAGTAGAGAAACCAGATAATCCGCTGATTCAAAAAATGAAGTATGACGAAGTAATGAAACGTTTGAATGTATTAGACGATGGTATTGCAAGCGTAGATGAGAAAATCACTGGTTTCATTGAAGAATCGAAAGTTCCTGTAGAGAGTTTAAAAGCACAGATGCAACAAATGTCTTCAGAAATTCAGAGTATAAAACAAGTATTGGTTCGACTGGAAAGCAAGTTATTTAAATAACCCTCATAGTAACAACACAATCTTAAGAGCTTGTTTAAACTAATCTGTAAGATTTTTGTTACTAATGCAGCATCTTAATGATAATGTAGTTATTCGAAAAATAATACACCAAATAATATTTTTACATAGAGTACATAACTATATTCTTCACATTTAGATTTAATAAATGTAATTTATACTAAATACACTTTTCGAAATCTTTTTTATTACTATTCTATACGGCCTCTTTATTAACTGATGGTGTGAATGCCTAATGCACGCCCACGTCGGGAAAATGTGACGTGGGGAGTGTGGTAAATCGTATAGCCGACCAGAACCACTAAACGCACCACCAGCCCTCTACGGTGCTTTGAGGGATCCCTGGGGGAATTTTGTTGGCCTAACATTGACTTTAATGAGCACGTGAACATAATCAGTGCTAAGTTTGATTTAAACTAATAATAAGGTCGGGTTGAAACCGGAAAGAATAAGTATTAGTTACTTTTTAGCGCCTAAAATTTCGGCCTAACTTGTTAAACGTTAAACATCGATTTTAGAATGAAAAATAGTACGACACGGACAGATTTGAACCTGCATCACAGCGTTCCGTGCTGTTGTTCTAACCAATTGAGCTACCTTGACCTACACCCGTATATAATGCTCCTACATGTAAATATATTATAGGTAATAGTTGTCAAACGTTAATAATAATAATAAAAACTCTTTATTGCACAAACTTAGACATAATACCATAGATATTTAGAATTATATATACAAAATAAAACATGTTTGTGCAAAGGCGGCCTTATCGCCTATGGAGATTACCTCAGGCACCTTTGCATGTAGAAATAAAAAATAAAAATAAAAATAAAAAGATAATTTTAGTAAACAATGAAATGAAGTCAAGATGAAAAATAAAATTATACAATAAAAAGATGATTTAAACTGGAAAATAACACTAAAATACTAAAGTTAAACATACTAATTTAATACTAAGTTTAATTTATTTATGTATGGTATGAAGCCACGTTATATACAATGATTTTATTTATTCAGGATTTTTTCAAATTTTATTCGAATTTCAATATACACAATATAATGGCGCGGGCGCCATTCGACCTTCGCAAAGGCCATTAGTGAAGCTATTGTAGCATTACGTCTTGTACAATGTTTGTTTTCATGTTAGTCATGCGATAAACGCGATACGTGTTGTGTTTCGGCAATATTAATGCTGTTTTACGTACAAAATAGTCCTAAAACTTAACTGTTGTAAAGATTAATTATGTAATCGTGAAAGGGAATCTGCATAACTGTAAAACAGGATGTTCTCTTCATTGTTTTTTAGAGGTAAGTAAAACATAACCTAGTCAATAATTAATTACCATATGCCTATGACAGTTTACGTAACGTTAAACAATAAAAATGTTACAATGTCACAGAGTATACAGATAATAAATTAAAGAACTAAATCTGTTACAATGCAATCAATAATTACTAAATAAAATAGCAAAGTATTTTATTTAGTGAGCTATTTGTCGTAAGAATCCTTTATAATAAACGGTTTTACTAAGTATCTTATTGTATTATATTCTACTGTCATTATTTATTTGTATACTTTTATTGGCAAAGTATTAAATGATAGTTTTATTCAAAAGCATATTCAATTCGAAGAAAACTTAAACACGAAAATTACATGTAGGTGAATTAGTAGGTATCAGGTTTCCTACAACTTTTTTGTAGGTCACTGGATTCTTGGTTTGAATCACAACGAAGATTATTTTTATTTTTTATGCTAATTTATTTTGTCCTTAATATTAGTGTCTAAACGTCGAGCCTCGAGACTTACAATCGCTCAGTGATTGATTTTATTTACGGGCTAACTGTTTAGCGGTAGCAAAAACTAAGCATGTTTCCGAAGAAAACTAACCTTGGACATCTTGCGCCATCCTGCAATGGGGCGGAGAGATTAATTTTGTGTCTTCTGACTTTAAGACAAGTTAAATCATATTTTAATTCACTTCGAGTGGTTCTTCGTGAAAATCGTTATAGTTAGTATAAATGTTACCTGTTTATTTTATTTTTTTCAGACGTAGAACAAGGGGAACCGGAAGAACGGTATGACTCACCACTACTACTTCCAGTGTCAACAGATCAAGAGACAATGCATAGTAATGGACATAGGTAGGTGTACATATTATTTAATAGCAACATGCATACGTATTGTCTGTTTACGCGAAGAGCACACATTAAATAAAACACTTTTAACGGTTTAAAACGCGGAATATATTAGTTAACAAGTAGTTAAAGTAAATCAAGATAAGTTTAATATTTTTCATATTTAAAACAGTTAAAAGTGTTTAATAAAAAGCTACAATAAATAAAGGCGTAAACTAACGTGTTTGAGTAGTAGTGTCTCTTAAATCCTTATTTTCATTCTATATAAGTTAATAAAACAATTGCTGTAAAAAAGCCAAATAAGTAGATGTAGATGTTTTATGGCTATAGAGTATATCACCTCCCATCAAGTGAACAAACTCTATCATTAAAAAAAGAATACTAGACTATATCTTTTATAAAAATAACATATACGTAGCTTTAGAAGCACAAATCTCGTTGGTTAAATTTAATACCATTATCAGAAAACACCACAACTTACCAAAACTCAAAGAGGACCTCCCACCACCGGCTACACCAGATCCAACGCCAGTTCCTGATACACCAGAAACTTGCACTAAAAACTGCAGAAGAAACGACAGGCGATTGCGCAGGCTGAACACAGACCTTCTAGAAGCCATAGAATCTTACAATGTCGAAGAAATTGAAACGTAAGTCATTAATCTATATCTATACTAATATATAAAGCTAAAGAATTTGTGTGTTTGTTTGAACGCTCTAACCTCGGGAACTACGAGTTCGAATTGAGGAAGGCTATAGACTACAAACATTGCGCTGTGACTAATAGAAGCGAAGATACAGCGGGAAATGTGAACAAAACGGGGGAAATATTTATCTCTGTGGGTTTTAGATGCGTACGCTGCGAAAACGGTTCATGATACCAAAAAAATGTATATGAAATAATGATTCTTCTTTAAATGATCTAAAAAACATCTGCGACGCTATATGTCTATCTTTTAACATTGACTTGCAAGAACGACGAGAAGGGACGCGATCGATGTCGTGGCCAACAGCTTAAGTTTATAAAGATGACGGGGTTTACAAAAACTAATTTGGATGCCCAAATAACGATTCTCGCGGACGAAGTTGCTGGCACAGCTACTATATATAAGGGTGTTTCGAAATTAGGTATTATAGCTTATATAGCTTTAAATTTTAATATCGGGCAAACTTATGAAGCACTTGGGACCTAAGTACGTGCAAGATATAAAATCAAATTTGTAATTTAAAAAGTGTATAATACTGTCTGTAGTTTACTCGAGTAGTACACACTTGAATAAAATACTTTTACAGTTTAAAACGCGATATATAGTAGTAACTTATTTGGGAATCATTTTAACTACGGCCCGACATTTCGGAAGCAGCAGTCGTGGTCACGGAGAGTTAAAATATTTAAAAAAGTATATATTATAGACCATTTTTTAAACAGATTATTGGAGGAAGGTGCAAATCCAAACGCGACATGTCGCCTAGATAACGTGTCTTCTTGCCACCTAGCAGCGTTAACTGGTGGGGACGCTCTGTCTTTGTTACTAAAGTTTGGCGCTGACAAGAACCGCCTCGACAAATTTGGAAGGACACCCATACATCTTGCTGCATATGCTGGAAACGCACGACAGATGGCTATGCTTTTGAATTTTCCTGAAGGTCAGCTTAGGAAATTGCACCAGATCTTAACTCCATAATATCCACGTCGCTTAGCATAGAATTATTTGACTGATGAGATGTCCACCATAACTTAACCTTAGAGTTTATTCTAAGCACACTTTTGCTTCTTCTGCTTTCGCTATCTGCCATCGTAAATGAGAATTTGTTCTCGGTTCACCATTACGAATGGATGACAGCATCAATTCTGACGCGTTCCTCAACTAAGCGAAGGAGCAATGCAAAATGACCGCGAAAGCCTTATACAATTTTTAAACTGTCTTTTGTTTATAATATTTAAAACAATATTATTAGTCTTAAATAATATATCTATATCAAGTCTTACATTAACATATCAAATTACAAAATTAACGAGCTCATGCTATCAATATAAAACATTGCTTGATCTAGCATAAAATATGTCAAAACATTTGCAGTCGTCATTTCTAAACATAGTCATAAAAATAACATTGATTTCTAAATAAAACACTTTAACGGTTTAAAACGCGATATATTAGTTAGCCGTGGTCACGGGGAGACCACGTGTCTCCCCGTGACCACGGCTGCTGCAAAGCATCCGAAACGTCGGGCCGAAGTTAAAAATCATTTTCAAATAAGTTTAACTAATCTATCGCGTTTTAAACCGTTAAAGTGTTTTATTTAAATGTGTACTACTCGCGTAAACAATAGACAGTATTTAACATTGATTTCATGAAATAATTACAGACATGCAAAAGCGCGTGGATACAGATGATATGTCATCTGAAGCTGAAGAGGATGTTAAGAAAATGTGTCCTGTAACTAAAGATATGGTGAATGTTAGGTGTGATGTTGAAGAAGTGAATACAGTGTTACCGAAGAATTGGAAAGATGACATAGACCACAACTGCATGGGCATTAAAGGCAGTGTATGATAGATTGGTTTTAAAATTTAACAAAGTAAAAAGAAGAATCTGCTTTCATTATGCTTCTGTATAGTGATAAACCTAGTAAATGGGTTTTTATAACGGCAAACTGTATACATTTTTAGTTACCACAACTCCAGCCAGGTTGGACGCCACTGCACGTAGCAGTGTCATGTGCAAGACGCCACTGTACAAGGTTGCTTTTAGCCGCAGGAGCCAATCCTAATATTTGCGATGTGTTTGGTCGAACTGCACTTGATGTTGTTGGATCAGCTCATCACCATGATGAAGAGATAAACTCGGCAAAGTAAGTCTCTAACAATCTGTCTCATAAAGCTAAGGTACGTGCAAAGTAAATTTTAGACATATGCCATTTGGTAACAAATAAAATGGTTTCAGTTTTACAGAAGTAATCAAGATGCTGATAAAAGCTGGTGGAACTCATAATTCTATGAAAGCACACGGTCTAAATAACATTGACACGCCACTGCACACTGCTGTTGAATTGTGCAATATCGATAGCATTAAAGAACTGCTGGACATTGGTGTGTCCATAAATTGTTTGAACTCAGCTGGACAAACGCCTTTACACCTTTCCGTGAAGAAGCGATTGGAACAACCTCTACAGGTATAATAATCATATCCTGTATTAAGTGAAATAGCAAAAATTATAGGTAGGTAATTATTATTTATTTATATTGTAGGTTCTAGCTAATTATCCTTATGATGATGCAGACCATCTTTCAGCTATTGTTGATGTAAAAGATAGGGACGGACATACAGTGCTGCAAGTTGCTGTAGAAGAGACTTGGGTAGCGGGTGTCTGTGTTGCTCTTGAAGCAGGCGCTGATGTTACTTTAAAGGTAAGGCATTTTAACGAATATAATCGTTAAAATATTAATAATAATAAATCTATTTATGTATAACCACTAAGTGGTTTCCAGGCAAATGATGGAGAAACTCCAATACACTCAGCCGCTGCCTTGGGTAATTTAGATGTCCTATTGGAAGTTCTAAGTGTAGCTAAACAACAGGGCATTCTCGACAGTCAAAACGATAAAGGCGAAACACCTCTGTTTCAAGCGATCATAAATGGTCACCATGAATGTGTTAAGACTCTTCTCGAAGAAGGAGCATCCATTTACGTCAAACTACCTGGCAACGTTAACGTTTTACATGCAGCAGCTGAACATGGGCACAAAGATATTTTACAAACCTTATTGGAGCACAAACATTTTAAAGCATTACATTTAATAAACGCTGTTACTACTGCTGAAAGAAAAGGTTTTGGTCCTATTCATTTTGCTGTAACGAGTAATTGTATAGACTGTGTTGAGCTATTATTGTCTAATCATGCTGATGTTAAATTAAGAACCACAAACACACCACATCATTCATCGACAGCCTTACATCTGGCTGCTGAGTACAACTTGGTAGATATAGCTAACTTCATTATAAAGTTTGACAAAACAACTCTTTATGATTATAACGATAAGGGCTGCTCTCCGCTGCATGCGGCCAGTTATCACGGTAGCAGAGATGTTATATTGACTCTACTACAAAATGGAGCAGATTTATCATGTTACACAGAGAGCCCGAGAAAAAATAAACGTACCGCTATCGAAATAATTGTTAATAATTTGTCTAAGCCCACTGAGTTTATGGAAGATGTTTTTGACTCGTATGTATCTAGCAACTGCCAAACCTTTGAGGATGCGAATTGTGAGATCACAGTTGATTACAGGATACTTATGCCAACGGTGTGCGAAACAGAGCAAATGAAAGTAATAGAAGCACTTCTGAAAACCGGAAATAGATACGGGCAGAAGAGATTACTTGTCCACCCATTACTAGAAAGCTTTCTGTACTTAAAATGGAAAGCGTTGTTGCCGTTTTTCTACACCATAATAGCGGTTTATGGCCTTTTCGTTTCTTCTGTCACAATTTTCATAATTTCAACATTCTTCTATAAGGATACCGAAGAAAATCCGCCAACTTGTCTCGGTCCTAATATTTGGAGTTACTTTATATACGCTACAGTATTTTTAATAATTTTTCAAGTAAGTATATTTTATCATCCAAAACCAAACACACACACACACACAAATTACATTATTTTTGTTTTTCAGGAAATACTCTATATGAATGTTAAAAGTACAAGATATTTCTTTCAAATGGAAACTTGGATTAAGTTTGGTTCCGTCGTGTTTGCCACGATACTTCCTATTTCCGTTGAATTATCAACTGAAGCTGAGTGGTCCCGACATATAGCTACTTTGGCTTTACTTTTGTCGTGGATAGAACTCATGTTTCTCCTTTCAAGGTTTCCGAATTGGGGTTATTACGTTCTCATGTTTGGGAAAGTCGCTTCAAATGTTATAAAAGTAAGTTTACTCAATCCTTAACTTTATATTGGTGGTATTATTTTACATAATTTAAATAGTTTTCAATGATTTTTAATTTTTTCAGATACTTTTAACATTTGCCTTCTTAGTAATTGGGTTTTCGTTGAGCTTTATGATACAATTTCACTCAAAAATTCCTTTTGAGAGTCCGTGGGCGTCATTTGTAAAGACCATGGTAATGATGACTTCGGAATTTGACTATGAAGCTCTCTTCGACAAGGAACACACACAAGAGCTTGCTACATCAATCGTGATAATACGGTTGATTTTCTTAGTATTCTTAATTTTAGCAGCCATTGTGTTAATGAATCTGATGGTCGGTGTAGCAGTTAGTGACATTAACGATCTAGAAATATTAGGAAATATAGACAGACTCGCTAAACGTGTAGAATTCCTTTCAACTTTAGACAACTTAGTTTACAATAGATTCTTCAGTTCTATTTTACCAAATAAACTAAATGAACACATTAAAAACAAACGAAAAGTTTCGAATAAGATTATATTATGTCCGGGCAAGCCAAGATGGAAGTATTATAAATTATTACCGACATACATAAGAGATGCCATTTTAACTATTGCCCAAGAACAAAAAGAAATGAAAGAGGAAGAAATAGACATGGAGGAATTTAGAACGAAAATAGATGAGATGCATGAAGTCATAACCAAACTAGGAAAAAAGAAAGAAACAAAAGTAGATTTTGTTACATTAGAGAAAAAGGTTACAAAAAATATTAAATTTGATGAGATTCAAAAACGTTTCACCGATATAGACAATGGTATTGTTCAAGTCAAGGAACAAATGATTGAAAATGTCGGACAAGCAATTTGTCCTGTAGACAAATTAAACGTTAAAGTTGATCAGTTATCCCTAGACGTAGAAGCGATAAAAGAAATGCTAGCTCGATTAGAAAGGAAATTAGGAACGCTATAGTAATATAGTAAAAGTTTAGTGCTTGTCATAAAAATTTAGAGCTTTAATAAAATTTAAGTTCTAAAACGGGCTTCTTTATTTGTGATTATGTATCTTAGTGAGAATATATTGGGAAAATATGAAGGACATATATTTAGTTTGGTGACTTGGCACGGGGCTTATCTCTCACTGAAGAGAGGAATTAAGAGCTTAGTTGACCCACTACGCTGCTCCAGGCTTGGCTTTAACTACTACCGTCGCTAAATTAGTGATGATAACCGGAATCGAGAGCTTAACATGAGGTTATTGAATTGAGTCGGTCTGTATAACAATATATATCCTCAGAACATTTTCGTACTATCTGTATATGTATAATATCTTATTATATTAAGGAATATAAATAGAGGTAATTATTATCTGCAATATTTTAAAGCCTACCTGATATTGCCTAAGCTTACGTCAAACTTAAAATACATTTTTACATGGTCTTTTTGGAATAGTATATTTTAATATAAAGTGTATATTTGTATTGTTTTGATTATCAAGATGACAAATATGATGAAGAGAAAAATACCAGACAAGGATATGCCTGCTGTAAGCATTAAATTTGCTATTTGTGGTACCTACACATAATATAAAAATTCCTTAAATTAACATAAGTAAAGTGTGTTTTTTTTATTGTTAATTGTCGTAATTAAACTGCCAAGGAGTTTTTAAACTTAATTTGTTTATTTTTATACTTTTATTTGTATATCCATAAACTGTCAAAAAACTGCTGGCTGGTTAGAAAAATTATAGTTTTGAAGGCAAGCACGTACCACAGATAACATTCCAAAAAGGGTCGTAATTCGTACAGAGAACTACCTCCGCGTTAGTACATTTGTGCGCACTTTCAGGAATTTTCAACGCACACGATAAGAGCAATAAATCGAATTGAAGAGCGTCCAAACGTGATTGGAATTATGTATTTCCGTAATGGTATGAGCTTTTAGTAATATAATATTCGCTACAATCCTTAAATAAGTAAAGATACACTTCAGTGAACTGTATATTAATATTAGTTTCAATAATATATAAATGTAGTGATATAATTAAATCCCTTTTCCACCTGCGGGGCATATGGGAACGTATTTCTATGGTCCGCTTCACTGATCAGTTTAATGTCGTACATGCGAGGAGTTGATCAGAGTTTGTACGGCCAAAACAATTTATCGTATTTCCGAGATTCGATCCAAGAACTCGCTTAGCAGAATACGAGGTAACAGTCTTGCAGAATACGAGTACATCTTCTCAATTTTTTAATTACTGAAAACCCTCTACAGCCCTAATATCTCCCGATATATACAATACTATACCAAGTACATAACTATTTAACAACAACTGACAAATATTCATTCATAATGGTGCTAACAGGTTTATTATCCTCATACAGGTTTTCTTGAATTATCAACAGTACCTGAAAACATGTCGTATACTTTAACTAATAAATTGCCACCGCTATCGGCCGCGTTTAAGAGAGCTATTAGTGAAATTGTAAGCAATCTATCTTATTTTAACCTGAAAATATTATATAAGTAATTTTAACTACTACGTGCTACTTAGATAAAAATCGTTAGAGTTCGTAATTTGAGAGGGCAAAACACACTATATATACTGTACCAAAGGAAAACTCATAGAGTTCTTTATTTTTAAGACTTGAATGAAATTACTAATTTTTCGTTAATCATTGTTTAAATAATTAATCATTTGTGAAGCACCGGATGGCGGATAGACATTTATCTTATTAGCTTTCTGCTCCGTGGTCCAGCTTACATAATTTAATAAACTAGGATCTTACGATTAACGAAATGCCATTAAAGGGTTAATTACACAGCAGTATTATAATAGATACATAAGTTTAAAAATATTTGCAAACGATGTGAAATGAACATTCCTATTTTTTCTTGTTTTTGTCTAAAAAGTTTTTAATATCAATCATGGCCAACAGGATGTTTTGAACGATTTTGTGGCGTTCAGAATCGAGACCAACTCGATGGAGATCATTGTGACCGGAAACCAAGAATTTATAGCGAGTGTCGTACTGCGCCACCCTCGAAAGCACCACAGGAAAACTTGAAATATTGATCGATATCCTAATTGTATAATTTATTGGTATCCGTTTTTAACTTTAAATAGGTATATGTTGACATGTGGGTATTACTCAGCTATAATAAAGGGATCTTTAATTTATTAAAAATTAACCGTTTCCTGTGTTAAATAACCAGGTTTATTTATATAATACAGACAAACAATATCTTAAATATTATAATTTAAACATTTGCAGCTATTAGAATCGAAGTCATTAATAATGAAAATTATATCAAATTTACTTAAGAATTTTCACGATGAGTGGCTAGTCAAAACTGTAAGTATGAATATTACACAATTATAAAAGTGAACTGCTGCTAAATATTTAGGAGAACCATGACTACTTAAATAGGTACTCTGACTAACCAAATGGTAAACCTACCCACAATTATCGTTAAAATCGAAAAAATAATTTCGGAGGTAAAAAATAATTAACGATTATTGACTCGTTTACAGACTGCTTCATTAAACGCAAGAAATCCAATTGTGGATAGGATAATGGAAGATGAGTCGGTGGAGGGAGTAATTATGACTAATCAAGAAGGTAATGTTTACCGACCTATTTAAGTATGACAATTGATGCCTATTTATAACGACGATAATAAGTCGTGCTACTATTATAGATACTACTTTTAATTTAACATATAGATAAACAACGCCAAGAAAAGTTTAGAATATAATAGATAAGATAAATGTGCAAAAAATGTAAAGTACGAAATTATGCAGGTGAACCAATATTAACGAATGTTAATTTAATGAATGCAACGAATTATGGAATTGCTATGCACCGTCTAGGATGCATGACGCAAACTGCCATCAAAGATCTAGTATGTAATATTCAACATGAAACTATATTCTTACACTATTAGACACTTAAAATAATCGAAGTTTCGTGTTTCAGGACCCATTTGACGAAGTATTAATTTTTAGATTAATTACAAAGAAATTAGAAATAATGACAGCCCCGCATCCTGAATTTAATATAATTGTTATGCAACATGCTAGAGCGAAAAATAAACAAAAAAAAGCTTGATCTTTAATTTTAATGTCTGATGTCGCTTGTAAAGTAACATAGTATTGTATTAATTATCTCATTATAATATTCAACTAATTTTAATGGAAAATATATCTACTGAATGCATCATCTTTTTTATTACGTTATATAATAAAAGAACATTATTATAGATATACTTCAAAAAGATACAGTCAGTGACACATATCGAATAATTTTCTTTCACCAGTAGGGAAAAAGTGAAAACCTTTTTTCTTATTTCCTATGGTTATTCTCTTTATAATTCATCTATGGCCAAAGTACTATAATCTGCGGAGTAGCGTCATATGCGTCATCATAGATAACTGTAAATAAAGCGTCCTTAAGCAAAGCCAGACGAAAGCGTCACTAAAATTGTCGGACAGAAATGTCTTGTGCGTGATACAAAAGTGTATTTAACGTGATAAGAGATTGCATGCAATTTTATATTATTTAAAAAGACATTGAATAAAAGGACTGGAATATGGCAGAAAAGTACGACAATGGTCACAACAGCAGTGATTTTAAAAGAAACTCAAATCAAGGGGCACAAGATGACCACGACCAAGATGGCGAAGAAAATTCAAAGTTAAATGAAAAAGCCGGCGAATACATGAGAGAACTATTGAGCGAGAAAATTAAACTTAATAACTCTAAGTTTCCTGTTTCTTGTAGTCTCATTGATGAGGGTATGTTTTTAATGTAGGGCATAATGATAGTTCTACTCTTAATTTGATTCTAAACAAGTAACCATCCTTGTCAATGTATGTTGCTAATAAAATATAATACAAAACATATCTGATTAATTGTTGTGTAATATACTAACCCAAAAATGCTTGGGGTCATTGCCCTTTGACTTACCACTGCCTAGTGAGTAAGGTAAGTCAAGAGGGAAGTTACCTTACAGAAGGTGCTATAATTCTAATATTTCATAGCAGAAAGAAAACTTGATATCCTTGATAGCCACAGAAGTACATGTATTACACATAGCTTCAAGCAAGTTTGATTTAATTGCAGAGGTCAAAAAGTTGCAAGCATCAGGCAGGATTCCTACAAGGGATAACAAGTATGTTGATGTATTTCGTGAAAAACCTATCAAGGTTACAGTTAAAGTTCTTGTACCAATCAAGGAGCATCCAAAGGTAAGGAATACAATAGAAGACTGAATTACCGTTTTCCTTAAGTTAGGCATAAGGTGGACCAATTCTGTGTTTTTTACTATTTTATTTTGTCTACAAGCTAATAGATAGATATAAAATAAATAAGAGTAGTCTGACCTACTATAGATGTAGCTTTATATTGAAATATTTCTATGGTTACAAACCATCTTGTACCGTCTTTATTGGATTGTCACAAATAGAATTCACACTTAACTGCTTAAAACTTTCAGTTTAATTTTGTTGGCAAACTGCTGGGGCCAAAAGGAAGTGTCATGAAGCAATTGCAAGAAGAAACTATGTGCAAAATGGCTATACTTGGCCGTGGATCAATGAGAGATAGGTAATATATTTTGGCAAAAAATAAACATTAAAACATATAAAGTAGGCAATTTTTCTCAATTAAGTATGTATTAAATCTTATCTAAGATTGATAAACAAAAATAATACATTTTTCATTTCCCAAATATACATTTTTTAAAGTATAAATATACATACTTCACTCACAGATCAAAGGAAGAGGAGCTCCGAAACTCTCTAGATCCTAAATATGCTCATCTGTCAGATGAGCTCCACGTGGAGGTGTCTGCTCTAGCACCGCCTGCTGAAGCACATGCTAGGATTGCATATGCTCTTGCCGAAGTCAAGAAATACTTGGTCCCTGATTCTATGGACATGATGCGGCCTAATCCTATGAGGGATATGATGGAGAGAGGTTTGTTGTTGTAAATTTTATTTTACTTTTTAATGTACTATTATTCAATTAGGACTGTATTATATGATTTATTATTGCTCTCTGCTACTTAGTGCTATTAAAAACAATTGTTTAGGATATGGAATTATTCTAACAACATACCGAATCATTGCTGAACTCAAATATATATCACACACAAAAATAATCTTGAAATAACACTGCAACATTAATTTCCAATATATTAATGTACCTAAGAAACACACTAAATACTATAATGGAGAATTTTAAAATCACAATGCATAACTCAGACAGATCTTTTACCTGCTACCAGATACAAAGCTACAAATTTCACTCTTATACTGATTTCTACACCTCTCACATTTTACATTTTGTGTACAGCACAATATCTAGTGTATAAATTTTGATATTTTACCCATAGAGTTGAAGCTTCTATCGACCATCTTGTGACTTTCTGAGATAGGTCTGCTGGCCTAGCATGTACGCTATAAAATGTTTGCCATTTGTCTTGTTGTTTTTCCTTTTTATTTCTTTTGAACAGAACTAACAAAAGTTTTTAAGGTGATAACCATAATTTTTTAAAAATTTGTCAACAATCGCGAGTCACGTTTGTCTTAGTGCCCATGCTAGTCCAGCTGAACAAATGAAGAGTAGAATAAACTAAAAGGCCTTTGTCGCCAGATCCAGGGCCTCGTAGACCCCCACTCCTCCAATTGCCTGAGCGCCCCGTGGTGGACGTTAAGGCCATCGCATACAATGCATGCACGGTTACAAAACGATCACTATCCTTTCAGGGTCCTGTGACTGCAGGTTCGATATTTTCAATTATTCTCGACACATGTTCACTCTAAAAGTTAAACATACATTCCACAAACTAAAATGGCTACTATACATCAAACACTTAAGTAAACTCCCATTGCATTGATCTGGAATTAATACACAGATTAAAGCAATTTTAAACTCGACAATATTAATAAGTAACAAAAAAACAAATTATCATAACATTATCAATATAAACATCATAATGCTATAAATTTATCATAGAGAAACATCTTTAATAAAAACTCAGACATGGACAACAAAAATTATTTAACAAATTTTTTAATTGTTATTGTGGCTTATGCATGCTTGCTTTTGTATTATATTTACAAATTACAATTAACGCCCTACACATATATATTTAAAGGTTATTATAGGTATCACATATTTTGATTTGCTTCGAAAAAAATCTTTCGTTTGCCATGATATAAATGAGGCGTTAAACTACAATTTAAAAAATGTAGCATTTCATATTTGTAGCTGATATATATTTTAGGTTATACTTTTTGTTTTAGGTGCACCTCCACCACCTATGCCGCGGCCGGTTCCACCACGTATGCCCCCCGCACGCCCAATGCCACCGGCGAAGACTAAGGTGTTCAGTATTCTGGACCGCGCCCGCAACGCCATGGAGGGCAGCTCATATGGATATGATGACTCCTATCCTATGCCTGAGCCCCCAGTAAGTAAAATACCAGTAGGAGTAGATATCAAGCTCATTCCTTTAAAATTGAAGTTTAAACCTGCGGTTAAACGAATTCAGCTTTCGTTTTACATTTTATTGTAAACTAAAATATTTTAAAGGTAAGAGCTCCGCCCCAAGGTAGACAGGGCCCCGACGCAGACTACTATTATGATCAAAGAGGACAGGACCGTTTCTTTGACGATGAATATTACAAGGTATTTATTTACTCTTTAAACTCTCCAACACTTAATGCCTTTAGCTCTCCTGTTTTGGAAGCTACAGACTTTATCTTGTCTTTTGTTTAATCACCAAGGCATGGTATTTTGTCTTAATAGATAATGTAGCCTAAATTTTAAAAACTGCAGCAGGAAGAACCTCGCGAGTACAAGTCGACGTCCCGCGAGGTTGGGACACGGCGTCCAGGGCCGCCTGGACAGAGGAACTTCCAACGTCCGGCACCGTACCAGCAGCGACCACAGAAAAATTACAATACACAGTACGTTTAGTGCACACTACAAACTTCTTTTCTAGCCAAAACCATCCAACCGTGAGTTTATTGTAGTTATTCCTTACCTTATATATTACATACACATTTAATTTCATTTGCTTACAAGGGGGAATGTCCATACATTATTTTTCAATTTTTTATTATGTTAGGCTTGTCTGTTTGTGTGCACAGAAAAAGACATTCCCCTTAGCCTGTGCAAAATCAATATATGTTACATAAAAAACAGTAAATGCAGTCTGATAAAGATAAAGCTATCTAAGAAATGATATTATGTGTACTTATATTTGAGCTATATCTTTCTAACACTCATATATAATAAATCGTGTCGGTCTTGAAGAGCACAAAATTCTTCAAACAACTCTTAATCATACTTGTTACTTATCGTCACAAGGAATCAAAAATCGTCTGCTATCCATACCCTGCCATGATCCCATGAACAATGGAGATCCCTTTCATTTGAAAAATCATAATTTTACAATTCTAACCCAAATTTATTTTTCAGAATGTCAACTTCAATGTACCTAATAAATTTTAGATATATACAATAAAATTAACCCAAATAATTGATTAAATTTCACAAGTTTCTGCAGAACCTTATAAATCAAATTAAAACGAATAAAGCTGATTTTTTCCTCCTTAAACCGAAAATATGTTTATTAAACCGTGTAATATTTACAGGAATTCTCATAAGAAACAGTCTCAATAAAAATGCCGGGAGAAAAACAATATCTGTAATCAATGTGGATAAAACAACAAAAACCGAAGAACCCAAATACCCATGGCAAACAAGTGAGAATATAATACACGGCACATAATAAAGTATAAAATCTTACACGAAAAATAAATTCTTTAAATAATGTTTGAAGACTATGCTTAATCAATGTATGAAATTATGTTCAATTTCAATAACATAAAAAGAATAAGAATAGTTAATCATTTAACTGATCTAATTGCGTAAATTTATTTTAGTAGTTCAATAAGGAACAAAAAAATTTAATGTAAGGTAGATTTAAATTTTCAACATGTTCTAAATTAAACCATAAAAACGACAACACGGTGTAGTGATGATTCAAAAATATGACTTCGAAACATGTTGAATTGTTTACATTCATAATTATTGTGTGAGTTCTAGTAATAAAGTCTCTAAAAATAATATTGGATTTTTAATAAATGCTAAAACCCATCAGCGTCGTGTGCCCGAAAAATTAATTTAATTCAGTTTTATATTAATTTCAATTTTCAAGTGCCATACAAATACCTAAACTGATATGGATTTCTTTAAAACTTCTGCCGTTAATTATTTTTTATTAAAACCTGATTGAATAACCGTTATTTATTCTGTGTAGTAAAAAAAAAACAAAATATCATGAATCTAAATGTATCAAAGTTTAAAAATGAGAATTCCAAAATTTTCATAAAAATATTGTAGTTACTGAAAAAACATTTTGGGTCACATGAATACATTGTCTAATCATTCTGTATTATATTTTTAATAGCAAAAAGAATTATAATAGAATATTTGGACAAATCTTCAACCTGAAGATATTAAGATGCAACACTCTGGTAAAGTATGATCTACTTATTATATTTAAAATAAAATTTTAATTTCCACGGCAATTGTTTTATTCATCTACAGACTATTGATAAGAAAAAATAATCTTAAAGTGAAAGAAAACAACATTTGTATTACTGTACCACTATATGTTATAAAAATTCACTTAAACATAATATTAAACTTATTAACTAAGATTAATTAAATAATATGGTGAAGATATTTTTATTTCTTGTATTGCATTCTAGAAAGGAAACATAGTTGTAAGCTCCAAAACAGAAGTTTATGTCAATATTACCTGCTATGGATATAAAAATGTTGTGCAACACAATATACTATCAAGTTAACCTCTGTGCAATGTGAAAAGTGCACAATCCAATTTGTTTATAGCATGTGTTGTCTACAAATTACTAAGATTTATAAATATGCATCAGAGATGGGCCAAAGTTAGTTTAAATGAGAATAAGATTTGCCTAAGACACAAGTTTTAGACTAATGGGGATTTAGTAAGCGATGTGTGCATTCTGCTACTTAACTTTCACATAATGACTAGAAATAAGAATAATTCAAACAACTTTTTCATATTTTTCTAATTACATAGTATGTAGTAATGCTTTTACATGGCCTTCTACAGGTGAAGATGTTTTTACTTAGTGGCCCATCTCTTATAGACATATAGTTACTGTCATTATTAATTAAACAAAATTATTACCACTTATAGTTATGGGTAAGGCACGGTGCAATAAATTATGACAGTACAACTAATTGTATAGAAATAATAATTTAGCCTTATCTGAGAAATCATAGTTTATTGGACCGTGTTCAAACTTTAAGACTAGTCTGAAGTATTCTGAATAACAATCAGAATGAATTCACGGTCAGGTGCAATTAAAATTTCATGCCGTCTGCTTCTCACTCTAAGGAAAGTTAACTCATTTGTTGAATCCTGAAAGAAATACCAACAAATCAGCAATGTTTGTGACACTATTTATGCAATTTAAAGCAAGCATATAAATTTAATAATATATCTTACCATTTCACGCACAACATTTCTCGCTTTCTCAGTAAGTTGACTTATTAAACCAGAATATAACACAGAAGTAGCGTTATCAAGAGAACTTTTAATTGGAATGCCTATAAGAAAATCATGTATTAGTTGTTATTCTGACTAAAAATTTCCTGCTATAAGCTAAGCTATTTAGAATAATTTATGTATAAATTGAAAGCAAAATATAACTTGTAAGTTTAAGTACAGTAAAAAATTGATCAAACCTTCATGATTTACTATGACGACACCCATAACACCCTTATGCGCTTGAATTCGTTTAATGGTTTCTTCAACTTCGGTCGCCTGTACAACATGTTCATCATAATAAACATATACAATAACCAACTGAATTTAATTGATTGTATCTTACCATTTTGTTTTTGTATAATTCTAGAATTTATAGAAATGATACGTAGCCCCTTCACCCTTTACACCTGCACTTTTGTTGTGTTGACTGAATGGCAATTGACTGTTGACAGACAGGGACATTTTAATTTTTCCTCTAGACAATACGTAATATCTTAAATGTAGTAATATTTATAAAAATAAATAAAATTGTATAAAAGATTGAATTTAAAACTATTTAAAAAAAATGCTTTCTAAGAATTACGAAGCATTAAACTGACAGTTTTTGGTTTTGTAGACATTTGACAATTTGATAAAATTAACTGTGTTCAATGTTGACATTTCTCTATTCCTTTAAAAGCAGTACAATGCAATGGGAATTAAATAATTTCCTTTATGATTTTTAAATTGCACTGAATGCAATGGAGGTATTCAAAGTGATAAAATATCGTTGTGTGTAAGACTAGTTATTATGCGCTCATGTCTATAGAAAAATGAACGATAGCGCAGAAACTTTAGATCCGCGAGTACAGGTAATCAATACGTGAACAATTAAATCATCAGCATTTCCCACATTTAAATAATATAACTGCGTCTATTCGTAACATTAAGGTTTACAATACAATGTTTCTAACTTCCCATACCCAAGCGATTGGAGTTTGATTCAAGAAAATCTCCCACATTTTTATCCGTAATTAATATTGTGGTTTTACCTCCGTAACTAAGTTTTAAAACTAGATATGTTGCTTTTTGAGGACACGGTCCCAGATTCGAATCTGATTCTCTGAATAAAACTGTTTTACTTTTATTTAAAATTTCGATTTCAGATTGAATTGGAGCGACTCAATACAGCGACTGATGAAATCAACCGTCTTGAAGTTGAGTTAGATGAGGCCCGACTGGCATTTCGGCGTTTATTGGCAGAGGGGCATTTGCGTATACAACAGCTAACAAAAAAATTAGGCACAAGTGTACATAAAGCCAGGCCTTATTATGAAGCAAGATTCAGGGCTAACATTGTAAGTTAATATATTTTATTAATATTCTTAACAAATTCCACTTCCTGAAATTCTGTAAGAAACTCCTTACTTGTATATTTACATTACTTTTTGGTGATATTTTTTTTTTATAGCAAATCAATATTTTACTGAAACATTTTGGACACATGTGGTTTAAATATAAACAAGTGCATATCCAAGTTATGAAATAAAAAGTCTCCATAATTCTAATTTATCATCTCCAGACGTCTCAAGAGCTGCAGGCAGCCAACCTGGTGTACGATAAAGCAAATAGTGCTCATGCTGCTGCAAGGGAGATGGTATACCTTGCTGAACAGGGTCTGGCCAGACTCGCTGACGGCTCTGGAGGGCTCACCTTGGATCCAGCTTGGCAAGAAATGCTCAATCATGCTACACATAGAGTCAATCAGGTAAATAATAGATTATGTTTATATATCTGACTTAGTTGTGTGGTCCTGGGTAGCCTTCTAAAAATGTTAATTACTAATTCTGAGAAAGTTTAAAAGCCTTTTGGCCACATTTCTTTGGAAAATTTCATAGGGCTAGGTTATAACTTTAAGTGAGTGTCTGTAGAAGTACTATTACTAGAGTGAGAATTATCAATAAGTATTTTACTGTGATAAATGCCTCAAATGTCATTCCATGACTGTGTAACGAAATAAAAATGACCATGCAATAAGCAGCAATACCAGTTCCATATAATTTAACAGGCCGAAGCAGACCGTGCATCAGCTGCGGTAACACAAAGAACTAAAGCAGCGGCACACCGAGCTGCAGCAGCATTAGTTCAACAGCTTCAGAATAGTTTAAAACGCCACATCGCTAAATCCAGGTAAAGCTTAGTAATTGTATGTGTCTGGTAAGTCAACAAAAGCCTTTTAATGGCTTTTATAGCTAATGTAAAAACAAATCAACATGTTTTTTAACTATTACACTCTTCATGTATAACATTTTAATATCGTTCTTAAGTATTCATTTCTTACAATATCTTATGGGCTTTATTTCATATAGGTAATAAGAATGTAATTAAATACTGTCTATAGTTTATGCAAGTAGTACACATTTAAATAAAACACTTTAACGGTTTAAAACGCGATATATTAGTTAAACTTATTAGGAAATGCTTTTTAACTTCGGCCCGACGTTTCGGATGCTTTGCAGCAGCCGTGGTCACGGGGAGATAGGTTTAACTAATATATCGCGTTTTAAACCGTTAAAGTGTTTTATTTAAAAGAATGTAATTATGAACCCAAAATAGGTATACAGGCACTTTTAAAGCAGAGCATGAAATAACAGATTTTTATTGTTCTTGTTTAAGAATTTTGCCTATTTTATGTAGGTTTATAAAACGTATGCGCCATATCTTGAATATAATTATTTACTACAATGTAAAAACATCTTATGACATTTGTTTTGCACTTGAATATGCTTATGTACTAGAATGTACTTCTTCAAAATTTATAAAAATCAATAGTGTAGTTAGCTAACGAAATAATCGGTTTTGATATTATACATATAAGTTTGATTTATTAATTAATAATATTTAATATTCTGTTAAGACAGACATAGAACAATGACGTAACCAATAACAGTAACAAATTAGCAATTTGTATAATATCAAGGCTGTTTGAGTAGAATTTTGAGTAAATGTAGTTAGCTTAGCACTAATTACTTCAATAACTACTGACTTGCGCTTGATTAGTTTGCACAGAGTATATCTTTTCCACAGGCCGCACGCAGCCGCCCGCAAGGTCTTTCTCATATTTGGTACATTTTTTTTATTAATCTATGTTCTATGCTTATTTGCATGTCACTGTCTATGGTATACCATAAACAGTTTATAAGCTATAGCTTTACCACAGTATACTGAATAAACTTTGTATGCATTAGAGTAACTGGGTCACATTATAGAACCTCTTCGGTGTGGAGTTATGACTTATGCCTTCGCTTTCGAGGGTTGATAGTTACAAGTTTACTCTGTACTCTGTGGGTCTATAAATGTATTGCGAGAAAATACGAACAAAACTTATGCCTTATTTATTACTTGTCTAATTGATAAATCAAAAATCATTTATCCTTTTGGGTAGTTTTTTTTTTTTTTTTTACTCCCCCCCAAAAAATTAAGACTCTAAATTACAGTTACACAGTTCCCAAGAAGGGCGAAGAGAAGAAGGCAAACTGCCATTTTTGATATTGGCGTACATTTTTTACCCTAGCCAAATTTTTTCATTTAAATATTCATTTTGATATTGGCTTGTACCACACCACCACGTTGAAAGATTAAATTTTTCCCTCTATAAGAAATTATTTATTGCACAAATTGTTTGTAATGGCTTTCGCTTACTAACGAATTGTAGTATAAAGAAAATAAAATCCAAACAAGTAAAAGAAACATATATCTCTTTTCAAATACTGTTCTTTATTTCTGCATAATTATCAGATATCAAAAAAGTCATTTTTATTTCGAGTCAGATTTTTTATATTTTAGTATAACTTTAAGGTGCATTGTGTTTGGCCAATATAGCACAGCTTTGTCCAGCTAACATTTGATTACTATGTGGTATTGGTCCTTCGAACCGGATATTCTATGTACAGGCCGTATTTCGAAGAGAAAGCGCGGATAAACGCCGCTCTGGAAGCTCAAAAAGCTCGGATACAAACCTTAGAAGAGCAGGTTACTGATGCTAAACAGAAGTATTCTTCGGCGCTGAGGAATCTTGAAAGGATATCCGATGAAATACACAGACATCGGTCAAGAAGACAATCGACAAGAAACGGTAAATTGTATAAGTCAAATGATATCGTTGTAAAGGTAAACAATGTTACTCAAAGTTCTTAAAACAGATATCCTATTGACGGTTTCCCATTTATATTAATTTTAAATAAACAATTAAATTTAAATACTTATACATGCGATAATAATATGAGGTTAATAATTTCATCTCAAGATATATGATGTACAATTCAATGAAGGCCCAAATCGCCCATAGTGAGATGTAGACACATTACTGATGATTGTGTTACGTTTAAATAGATTTTGGCAACAACGTTCAACCTTATTTTCTGTCCCCAATACTTACCCTCATTATTCGTTGCCCTTTTTAAAATACTGTTATAGTTCTTTACAATATTGACCCCGGCATTCAAATGTTAAACCCTTTGTCCTTGACGCAATACATAGTTGTCGTCACTTAATTTTTAATAGAAGCTCAAATAAATTAGGCTTATTTTGAGAATTCAAATTTTCCGTTCCAGAGATGGATCAAATGACAATAACAGATACGGCGAGTGAGTCGAACGCAAGCGAAAATTTGGAAGAGCTCTGCTCGCAGAACAACGATGAGAATGTTCGGGAGTGGTTGCGCAAAGTGGACAGGCCCGATCCTGATACCTGGACAGAGATTGATCTGGACTATTCCAGTCCTGAAGAAGTAAGGCTGTACTGCGAAATAATTATACACAGGTTCCTCAGAGTTATTAACAAATAATATCTGAAACATACCCGAACTGAAACAAAACTTGCGTATCTAAAGTTTCGGTTATATGCGCAAGAGTCGGTCATAATAAAATGTTTTGTATGCATATCATTTCCCGTAAAGACCTAGGACTTATTTTACATACGCTATATTCAGAAGTCATTTGTTTTTTTTTTCGATTTACAAAAAGTTCGTATTGAAATTAAATTAAATTTTATTAATTGAATATTTAACTATGTCAATATTTCCAGATAAGTTTCGAAAAGTGCTCGCTTCGTCCCCGTTCAAGTCCTGACAAGTCATCACCGCCTAGTCCCTTGGAATCAAAGGTGTCTGCAGCATCACCGCGACGCATCATTCGCGTTGGTGAAAGGACGGCGGCCATACGTGCTGAGTTAGAGCGTGGGCGACGGCAGAGTTTGGACACTATACTCCACGATACCGGGGAGAAAGTCAAAGAGATGTTTCAGGGTCAGTATCTAATCAAATCCATACGATAAATATGATAACTTATTTAAACAACATTTAGGTCTATTTCTTTACTTTATTCCTACTCATAATACAATAGGCCTTAAAAATATTAATGTTGTTGTGTAATATTTGATTTGATATTATTTAATTTCAGGTCTGTCCCTATTTGGTGAGCGCCGTGGTTCAGGCTCCGCCCCACGCACTCCACGAAGGGCTTCTCCCCGCGCGCGTCGCTCCCCCCGCACCATCCGGGGCTTCCTCTGCGTCAGACGAGATATACTCTGACACGGATAGTCTAGCAAGGTAATGTAACCGGGTACAACAATTGCCCTAGTTTTACTCTCCTTATTGTTAAAATGTGATCAGTAACGACGAAATTATACGATTAAAAAAGTTTTCGCTAATTGTGCTATTTTCTTAGGAAATAAATGTTTTTAGGTAGATTTCTTTCTTATTTCCATGTTTTATTAAAAAAGATCAACACATATTGGTTCTAGCCTCTTATAAAGGGAAAACGACTTTTTAACGTCTACTAAATGGAGTTTCAATTTTTATTTTATGACTAAGTTTATCCATATAAAGGTATATAACGCTTTGAATTTCATCCAGCATGGAAATGCTGACAGACGATCAAATAGCATCCCTCATGCTAGACGCCCAACTGGAAGCCGTTTGCGAGAAATTAGCTGGCGTTGCGCGTGCGCCGCGTTCCCCACAATCACCGGAATCACGGTTATAAGCCCTATAAAGATTTTCTTCTTTCGTCTTCTTAACTATCAGCGACATTTTTTATTTATATATGTTATAGATTTGTTTTATTTAATACTTTTAAGAAATATTCTACATGGTTTTGAACCCTAATATTTATATTACCGATATGAAGATTATCAGCGTAGATTATAACTGCACCGCGTACGTGACTTACGTACGTACATGTACGTACCCGTAAGTATTAAGTGAATAATATTTTTTAAACGCAAGGAATGCCTTGACAGAAAACATTTGAAGTGATTAATCGGTTCTGGAAAATAAACCTTAACACAATAGTGCAAGGTGCATATTTAAACTAAGCTGTGTCGTGTAGTAGTAACTTGTTGACGTGTGATAAACGGCCAGAATAGTCTCCTGTAGGTTTTGCTAGAATACTGCCCTTTAGTCTATAGTTAGTGTTGCATTGTTGAAAAACATTTGTTTCCCAAAATTTTACCTGTTAGTATAAGCACGTAGACGTCAAGACAAAAAATAGTAGATTCGTCAATTGAATTGTCGCGAGTTATGAGAAGCACATTGAAGGTATAGTTGTCTCCCTCTTTTATCGAGGACGAAAAAGACAACAATACTGACTTTACTGTGCTCTGTAATTTGTTGTATCTTAAGTTGTTTAATATAGGATAATAATTTAGGGAGTTTGAGTTTGCCTTAAAAAAAACACTAAGTCAATAGACAGTTTACGCGAGTAGTACACATTTAAATAAAACACTTTAACGGTTAAAAACGCGATATATTAGTTAAACTTATTTGAGAATTATTTGAACTACGGCCTGACGTTTCGGATCCTTTCCAGCAGCCGTGGTCACGGGGATTACCAAGTACCTTAATTTATGGTCTAAACTCAACAGAAAGGTATAACTGTCAAAATTATTATCCTATATTACACAAATATAAGTATTAATAATTTTTTGAGTGGCCTATTCTCGATAAGTATTTGTACAATTGTGAATTTAGCGCTGTAGTAATAAACGGCTAGTGATGACGTATTTAGCAATAAAGCACTTGCATAATATTCATAAATTTATAATATTATTTAGGCGTCATTTTTTCATTATATGACTGAAATTCCGGAGTATTTGTTATATCAGATGTTTTGATTTTTTGTGCGCTATTTATTCCTAGATTCTAATTTCTAGACTTAATAACTTTGACATGACAACAGCTAGTCCTATGCATTTCTTCTCTTTGACACGTCTTCAAATAGATTTAACTAACATTACAGAGAGTATACATGTATAATAATAGTATAAATATTTTTCTAAATAATTAGTAACGTTCCTTATTATGCTTTGAACGATAATTAGGTTTTTTTTCGTTGGTTCTTAAGCAAAATTTTTTACCGAACTTAATTCAAGGAAAAAAATGCATTTTTTTCCATTTTTATTTTACGTCTTCCAGAAAATCTCATATTCCTGTTACCGTTTTCGATTTAAAAATCTCTATCAACGTTTTGGCTAGATTTAAGTGTGATATTTTAACACATCATATATACTTCTTAATATGTAAAAAAATGGGAGGAGCTATTTTACGCGCAAGCGAGACAGAGATATCTCGCTTATAACATTTGGAGTTCAAACGTAAGGGACAAAAGAGTATAACTTTATATATTTTTTTTATAATAACATATGCTTCTCCTAATTAAAAAATAGGTTTTAAAACGCGAACATATTATTTCTGTGATTATCGTCTTGCCTATAAATTAAACATCCTAATTTTTTATTTATATTAGTTGTATTAATAATAATACGTTTTGCAGCGTCAGGTGCAATGTGATGTGTTGAAATAATATTTAGATGTAGAATCAGAAACATTGTTAACTATTATAATAATTAATAATAAGAATAAAAATAATAAGTACACGCTTTTGTCCTCAGTGATGCGCTTGCTAGGTGTTCGCACAAATAGTTTTTACTGAAATTGTTATTTCTCATTTAGTTTAAACTATCTATAGAGTTATAAATTTTGATTATAAAATATTTGTATCGAAAATAGAGCCTTTGTACAAACGTACAAACAGCATATAAAGGTTTTTACGGCAGTAATGCGTTTTTGAAGATTTAACTTAAAGCTATATTTGTTTTTATTTACTTTTTGTTACTATTTGCTTTATAACTATAAAAGAACAGATAATGATAATGAACGATATCATATGTTTGTTATTTAGCCAAAATTACACAATACGAGATTGATCATTGATTTTCAAAATTTGATGTAGACATGCATACTAATAAACAGGTGAGTTGCATTAGCTAATGTAAAAGGTAACTATACCTACGCTGTGGACAGAAAAAATCACTCTTTCCGTGATTTTTTTATAGTAATTAGTTCCACTATGCAATTTTAGCTACAACGTGGAAGTTAATTTCGCAATATTTACACTAAAACGTATATTTTTATATCACCCCAATGCAAAAATGTAAGTATATACGCTAAGTGCGCAATGATAGCTTTAAAGTGATGTTATGTTCGCCTGTTGTGATATTATTCTGTACAAACGTAGCCATAATCACATTAGTTTAAAACTTGCCTTCGGATGAATAAATCATTGATAGTTCATATCTTGTTTTCGTCTATCCTCCCATCTACGCACAAAGGATTTTGCTTTAGTCTACGTACCTGCATTTTTATGATTATTATTAAAATAACATCGATGACGGTTGAAAGTCGAACAATCAAAGCGTTCCGAGCTGTTGGTCTTGCCAAAAGCATTTTTGAAATATAGACAGCTATCATGCGCAATAATAAAAGCATAGAATATTGAATCTTATTGCGTAAGGCGTAAGATCGGAATAACAAGCGTGAGAAATGTATGTCTAAGAGAAGTGAGAAAATTCCGTGTTAACTATTAATAGTGCTAGCGTGTTCGGTAGCACGAAACGCCTTGGCTAAGAGTTCCGCCTGTGTCATGAAATTCGTCGAATTAGAATGTAGGATTAATTGTTATTCGAGATGTAATTAGAAAATCCAAGTTTTCACTGAATTATTTATCTTTAATATCATCGATTACAACAATATATTACAGAGGACGGCAAAATACATTCAACATCAACTAAATAAAACATTTTTACCGATTAATTTCGACTACAGAATATAAAAATACTTTTTGGTTACAATTTGGCTAATTCCGCTGAGCACTGTACGTTGACGCAATTTTAACACACGTAGAATTTTAATACTTCTTATATCAGAAAATAGTGCTTCACTCGTCAGACTAAGTTTCAATAACAAAAGCTTAATAGTACACTGCTCTTTCAATAAACGTTTGGATGTTTTGTCTCTGTCATTCACATACTGTATGACAGAGACAAAACATACTGATTACAATTACACAATTATTATTAACATAGATAACGTTTTACAATCTACCCTAAGTTACTTTATAGTCGTCAATGCATGGTCACTATTAGTAAGGTTGTTTTAAGAAAAATAAGGTTTTAGCCAAACTATTGAGCGAGTGATAATACGTTTATAGCTATTATAGTAAATTAGCGTACACGATCAAGTATAGAAATGTTGAAAAAAATATGTAGGAAAGTCATTTATTGATCTAACTTCTACATTTGAAAATAATTGCGCAAGCGCATGTTTAACGTAATCCTAGTTTTCTTCCAAAACATAATTTGGCCATCACTAAATAAATGTCTACGCAGATAAACATGACATTAAAAATCATATTTACAGACTATATAATACAACACTATCACATCATCGTAGTTATAGTTTTGAGCAAAACATTCGACACATCTAACATTAAGTACCTTAAAAATATTCGAGAGTTCTATTTGGACTTTTAAAGAAAACACATTTGAGATATATTAATAGTTGATTGAGCATATTTAAAGAAAATTAGTAACAGAGTAACTTTACTTGTAACAAAATATGAACAGGACCAGCCTGTATTAAACCTCACTTAATATTTAACTAAATATTCCCTTCATCCTTTGTTTCCCCGCTTTTAATTTTTAATGGCTGATCTTAATTTAAATATGAATAACGGTCAAAAAGTTTTATACCTTTAAAAAAAAAGAAAGTGTAAGAAAATTTAAATAGACACTTAAAGGTTTAAAACACGAAATATATTAATTAACCTATATTATTTTATTTTACCTACTGTCACGGAGAGGCCCGGCTTCTTTAAAGTATACGAAACGCCGGGTCGTATTTAAAATAAGTTCACTAATATATTTCGCGTTTAAAACCGTTAAAAGTGTTCGATTTAAATATAGCATGTCATTTTTTATTAGAATTTTTATGTATAGCCAAAAGCCTCTCGTCGAATATTACGAAAATAGGAAGCCCTTAAAAACGGGGCTCAACAAAATGGCGTCTTTCCTGTCTCTATACAAACACACCCTGCTAAATATCCATGCCATCAGAAATTGTACTACCTTAGCTTATTTTAAACGTATTTATACACATAGTTCACATTTCCTTAAATCTAATTTATTTGTCAAAATACACATAGCCTTATATTTGGCACTGCTTAGTTCATACACATTAAATATAAATAAAAACATTAAATTAATAGAACTGTTATATTATATTTGTGCTAATGTTATTTTAACTACTGAGATCATCGCAATCTAACAAATAATACTTAGACGCTGAGTTCTTTGATTTCTCTACTTTATGGGAATTTTATTCAACTACCCGCATTCTATTTTATCGGATTATTACTACACAAATCGATTTTTTACACTGGAGTTTACAATACTGGATATGGGATAACTGAAAAATGTATACACAGTGTCCAAAGTAAAATGAAGCAAAACTCCTACTTAATTACTACAAGAGATTTCAAAATGGCTAAATATAGACACGAAATTTGGAATACTTTATCCATCACAATTGTTTTATTATTTTTACTCTCTTGTGTTTTTATTGAATATTCGCCTGTGTCGTTTGCAAACGTTTATCGTGGATGGCCTGGAAAAAATAATTACAGGTGAATGCACAATTTACAAACATGTTTTAGAATAAACATAAATCTTTTTGGCTTTTCAAGCTGTTCCGTTCATGCGTTCTAACAATCGAACCTCCCTAGACTGACCGAAACGCAAACATTTCACGGCTTTTCCATATTATATAGATAATTAATACATGGAAGTTAAATTAAAAACCTATTTACATTTAATACAAAACAGTACCCGCAGCGATCCGTGTAGCAACTGACACGGTAGCTCAATTGGTCTGAGCTACCATAGCGTTCATAAGTATTTCAACGTGGCTTTTAACCTTAAAAGTTTATGCTTTCCTGTCATTTTATTGTACTTACCTTAACGACACAGCGTCGAAAGATGTCAGGGCGCGGCCAGGTGTGTACACTTTTCGCAGATTGACATTTCAGCGTTATATCTCTCCACCTGGAAACACGCGCTGGCAACACCGTACTGAGACCTCGCTAACGCTTGACACTTGGATAGCACAGCCTCCCAGTCAGCTAATTCATCTGTGTGATAAGAAACAATTAAATAATTGTAAAATTCACTATTTAATGTTAATAAATATTATTCACTCCTTACGTAGGGAGGGGGGGGAGTAAAGGAAAGGACCTGACATCGACTTTATTTATGGACAAAGCTGTCATGCCCTATGATGTCCTCAGTTTACAAGGTCAGCTTTTTAAATCAAATAATAGTCTTAGTTGAGCGTTTTCATAAAAATATTTTATTTGTATTTGAACAATCGACGACAAATGAGCTATCGTGTCGTAGACAAGACAACAGCACGGAAAGTTATTGTTGTTTATTATGAGCCCTGCCTATATAATATTCATTTTTTTACATTACATCTTTTTAAATATTATCACTCACCAATGGCAATATGGGCTGTCAACACGATGTGGTGGGTAGATAGAGCCCACACGTGGACTGAATGGACGTGCCGGACACCCGTGACTGCTAAAAGGCCGGCAACGCACTCGCGATATCTGTTATTAAAAAGTCACTTAATGAAATAGTTCAATGATTCCTATTTTATTTACTATTGCCTACATTATATCAATATTTCATTTATGCTTTTTCAATTGTATCGATTGCATTATTTTACCTAAAGTTAGGAGGCACAGCTTGCATAAGCATGGCGAGAGCATCTCTGACCACGCGTGCCGATGTCAGCAGCACCAACACGCTGAAGACGAACGTGCAGATCGGGTCAATGACCTTTGCTTCAGGCTGGGAGATAACATTATTTATTTATAGTTAACAATTGTTTTAGTGCCATTAATATCAATACGCAACTGTTAGGGTTGAAATTACATTGCACGAGAGGTGCATGTGTCAATAGGTCAAAAAAAATCGTCGATGACGTGTAGGACACGATAGCTCAATTGGTTAGAGTACGGAGACGCAGGGCTATCAAGTCCTTTTCGTGTCTTAATTTTTTTCTATTTAAAATCGATATTCAATTTATATCATGCCATAATTTGTGAAAATTTAAAAATTTTCAAATATGTTAATATTACCATATTACTATATTAAATATGTTTCTGGTGTGGTGTTAGAAACTAAAGTTTAAAAATCTTTATTTGAATACATGTTTAGACACTTAAATAATATTTTTATATAAAAAAATTATTTTATAAACGATTTAGATTAAAAACATTTTTTACAACGACAGGACTTGAACCAGGATCTACTACTTACCGTGCTGCTGTTTTAACCAATTGAGAATTAAATTATTTATAGTACAGAGTGACATTACACAGACGGAACAAGACATAGGAAACGACACATTTCCCAGCCAGTACTCAGTTCTGTATCTGTCTGTTAGTCTCTGTATAAAGTCCAAAATGATTCACGGCAGGCACGTCGTTAATCGAACGTAAATTGTGCCCTACCTGTCCGAAAGGACTGACAGCAATAAATCAATACATGTATGTACAATTATGTTAATAAATACTCACGTAAAATTTAATGAGTATGGCTGCTAGAAGTACCCCACAACTCTGTATTAGATCGCCTATGACATGGATTAACGCTGCGCGTAAGTTTATATTTCTGAAAAAGAAATAATAATAATAAATAGACACATTTAGACATAGGCTGAACATACAACATTTTAAACAGTTTGGTGTCATTAATAAACACTTAATAATTTAAATGCAAAATAGGTAGGTCTCGTTTACAATATTCGTGCTCACGGTGGGACACTTCAGGTCACAGTTGACTACCTGCCTACTACTTTCCCATCAAAACAAAAACATCCTGTATTTATACTCTGTTGATCTATTTTGTTATTTAGATATCCAAAAACGTTTTTTCATCTAGGCGGTTAGTGACTTGGCCGGAATTACGATATTCCTACCACCTATTTAATATCCAGATTTCCAGACGAAATCCAACATATTTTAGACGATTTATAAATTGTTTAGATGTTATATGAAATAACCCTTATCTGTCCTTCTCTAAAATAAAAATCTCGAATAGCTTAGCAAAATGGCCGCTTGTACAATTAAGGTACTATTCAGACTTTTTACCTTTGTGAATTATCAAGAACAGTTGTTTCCGAGGCAGCTAGATCTTTCATCCTATAGTCACCATTAGCTACGTTTCCGTTTGTATGCTTGTGTTCACGTCGCCGGAAAAGCCGAAACCGCTTGGGAGATGAATGCGTATGCGCATGGGCGTTGCAGGCAGCGCCACCGTGCGTGTGGTGATGAGCTGTAATTGTGAGAGAGTATGACAGAGAGGAGAGAGCAGTACGGGGTACCTTTAAACAACATCTTGTTTAAAGAGAAACCCGTGGTCTCTCTAATCTAACTATCACGTTATATTACTTTAAACATTCAGATATCCTTACAGTTACGAATCATGTTTTTTATACGGCCGTTGGTTTGTGACCTGGTTGGGTTTACTGATATTTGACCACGAAAAAAATTCAGATATAGAACTAATAACGTCATTAGGCCCAACCAACAACCCGTAAACCTAGCCATTTTTATATAATATTATATATGTTAAATAATAGAATAACAATAAATTTTAGTCAAGTGTTTTAAATAAACACAATCAACAGGAGTTAGGAATATTAATAATAACATCTATTTAGCATATATACATAACAACTGCTCTTTCTGTAACATTACAGCCATAACTTCAAATAAAAAAAAGAATAGTTTTAACGGCGGAATTTCAATTAAACACTCAAAGCAGAATTTACAATGAATCTTCAAAAAAATACTCTAATACTTACCGATGTCAGAAGCGCAGCCGTGTAGAACAAGCGCCAGCAACACATTGAACGCGACACCGCACCCCGATACAATCATCATCATGTCAGGTTCTATGGTGTATTCGCCGGTGCGTATGCGCAGTGCCGCGACGTACACAAACACACCCGTCAACGCCCAGATTAGTAGGACAGAGGCCATTGCGCCAAGAACCTCTGTAAAGGCAATACATAAATAACAGTTTGTAAGAGATATAAATGAAAATATCGACTTTAGATTGAAAAAATTTACGACACGACCAGGACTCGAACTGACATCCACAGCGTTCCGTGCTGTTGCTCTAACTAATTGGGGTACCGTGTCCTACGTCATCGTCGAAATTTTAAAATTTATACATACATGCAACTCATGTGTCGCTTAATTTCAACATTAACACTAGCATAGTAAGGGCCAGTTTCTGTCCGTGTCGTAATTTGTTAGAATCTAAAATCAATTTTAATTTATAAAATGTCATAGTGTGCGATATAAATAAAATAAGCAAAATATAAAACTTTTCAATTATGTGAGTCATGTTCACCACGGTAGATGGCGCTAATCTTAAGTAAATATTGAGCCTTTATTTACGCAGTTCGAAATATAGCACACAGCTATTATTAGGTAATAGATAAATAAATTCAGTTTATATATTAGCAGATATTTATATATAAATATAAATATCTGCTAATCAACATTAAAATTTGCTTCTCTACGACTTACAAGCGATATCTATTACATAGTCGCTAGGCAAAATATAAAAAAAGAACCAACATCAGCAAACAGTGTAAGCTGTTAAAGAGATTTGGCAGGATTAAATTACCAGGAAAGTTCGGATGTAAAAAAGTATATTTAAAACTTAATTCATTAAAAAGGTTGCATTTGGAGCAAAAAAATCCTCATTCATTACAGTAAGCTTCAAAAACCTCAAACTGTGTCACGTACTAAACTCTATGCATATTTCGCAGTGAAAAAGCAAAACTTTTATTTCTAGTGAGACATGTGTATCTCTCATTTAAAACTGTATTTATATTGTAAGAGTACATCAAAGTGGTGTATAATAAGGGAGATCCCATTCCCCCAGTGATATTTAACTACAGACAAGTAGTTAAGGAGAATTATATGTCCTGCATAACCGAAACCAATATGTTACCGGTATATGAACTTAGATAAAATCGTGTATAAGACAATGCGCCACAAGTAAATTATAAAATTGTTCATTTCGTCATATAATGTACATAAATTGAGTTTCAAACGCAAAAATATTACGCGAAATTTTTTTTTATACGTTCCGGGTATAAAGGACAATTAAGAAACGTCGGTGCGAACTAAAAATACTAAGTAATAAGTTTCACGTTTTAAACCGTCAAAAATGTTTCATAAACAAGCAAAGAGTTTTTGAATAAAAATAGTAACAATCAGGCTACTAACAATAAAGTCAGCATATGAGTAAATCGTTTTTTTTTTGTTAAGAAAATAAAAAAAGGTCTTGAATCCTCCACATACAACGAAATAGAAGCTTACCAGCTCGACGGTACCCGTAAGACATGTTAGCGGTGGGTGGTCGGTTCGCGCATCGAAACGCTAGCAGGGCTAGGGCGAACCCCCCACAGTCGCTAAGCATATGCGCCGCGTCGCTCATCACAGACAAACTTCCTGCCAGGTAACCGCCAATCAGCTCACAGATCTGTAAAGTCATTATTACATTAAACTATGTACGAGCTGTAAAACATAATGCTCGTTGATCTAATAGCGGTAGCGATGTTTAGCTAATGATCAACGGGTCATGGATTCGATCCCCACCATGTCCACCATGTTCTTAATTTTTCAATTTATTTTTCGACGACCAGCTATATTTTATAAAGATGAGAAAGTTTGAAATAACTATTCGACGCGGCCGAAGTCGCTGGCACAGCTAGTTATCACTAAACGCTACGAACACGTCATGTGATTTCAAAATTGAATTAAAATGAATATTGTCTCAGTCTTTTAAATACACAAAACTCTCATCATATCATTGTCTTTCGGGCTGTTCGGCCGATGTGAGCGAGAAAGAAATAATAAGTAATTCTTCGAGCAATCGAGATGTCAGCTCCTGATGATGCCGTCCACGCGTGATGGCGAAACGTCGAGAACATCGGCCGAACAGCCCGAAAGACAATAATATGCTGGACGATGGCCGTGAAAGCCTTACACAATTTAATACTCTTATCAATGTAATAAGACTAGACCAGTGCATATTGTACATTTTTTGTTTAACTGTATATGGAATAGTTGATTAATTTCGACAAGAAATATAGAACTCATACCGAATCTCGTGTTAAAAATGTTTCGCCGAATAGCACAAACAAAAAGCTTTCGTACGTGACTGTACTACTGATAGCATTATCAATGTATGTTCCGTTTTCCTTGTACAAGGCAAATAATGAATAACAGTATTAAAGGCATTGTCTGGCACTGTCTAGAATAACTAATCGCGATACTTTTTGTAATGGAAATGTAAAGGCCGACATCGTATCTTTTAGGCCTGTCTTTCTGACTCGTCCGTCTGGGCCGCCGTTTTGACGGGCTGGTGTAATCGTAGCAATGCGTGGCTATTACACGGTTCGCGGATTCGATCCCCACCAGATCCTACATTTCCTAATCAATCTATAATTTTCCTGAAACATGTTGAACTTCTGGAAATCTGGCTTAAAGGAAGGAAGGAATAAGAAATTCCGTCGAGTCACGAACCGCCGTCATCAAGTGCAAAAGCCGTGAAGTTTAATCACGTTTCGGTTTCAGTTTGTGGATTTCCGAATATCCAAAGCCAAATAGGTCGGTTTAGATGCAATAGGCTGTGGTATCTACCATCACTCGAACCCCGTGCTTGTCTGTCCTCATCATTAGTATCATTAAAATATCGCCAGTCGCCGCTGAGCGTGGCTTGTTACGTATTGCTATATTTGTTAATGTCGCTAGACCCGTCGTTGTTCGCGTCGCGCAGATTTTCGCATCGGAGTGTACCGCGAGCGATCGTTACACTTTTGTAGTGCAAGTGACCAGATCGAAAAACACTACAACCGATGTCATTGTACTTAAGAGCTTATATTTTTTTATCTATTCTAGTTCCGCTTGTATTTCTTAGTATACATCTTTACGGACTGCCTGTAGTTTACGCAAATTGCAAATGAAACCGTATTAACGGTTTGAAACAGGTCACAAAATAGTTTATCTATCTATTAGAAAGGTTTACCATTGTTTTCTTACAATAAAAGATAACTTGCCACTTGCTGTTGCAAAGAAGTACATAATATGTATACTAATAATAAAGCTGAAGAGTTTGTTTGTATGAACACGCTAATCTCAGGAACTACTAGTGTTATATATAACTAAACTAATACGCCAAAGTATTATACAATTCAACTTAAAAAGTTCAAATTTACGACCCCACTCAGGCCGAGTTTCACTTGATGGTTAATAATTTAATAATTAGCGATCTAAACCGTTAAAAGTGTATTTTTTTATTACCATGAATACGAAGCATAGCACCAGAGCAGCTAACAGCTGCGGCACAGCACTCGGCGGTTCCGGTCTCTTCCAGTGGCAATGCTCCTCCGAATCACTGGTTACAGTCACCGTTACCTCTGAGTATCCATCCTGTAACAAATAATTTTATTTATTAAGAATTTTTGTATATTGTATATAAATTTGTTTGTTTGAACGCGCTAATTTCGGGAACTACTGGTTCGAATTGATTGATTGACTGGATCGATTTTGACTCGGGTAGGACACCTTAACACCCCTTCAACCTTAATACGCAAATATTAAGGTTTAAATTACATTGCGCGAGAGGTGCATGTATCGATAGATTGAAGAAATTCGACGATGAGGTGGTGGACTCGGTAGCTCAATTGGTAGAGCAACAGCACGGAACGCTGACGATGCCGGTTCAAGTACTGCCCGAGTCGAACATTTTTTCAATTTATTTTCGATTTTTAAATTAAATTATTATTGTGTTTGTTAGAACATTCATCAGGCTATAAAACGAAAAAGGAGTGAAGAAATAGCGAGATACATAGCTTTAAATTAACTAAAAATATGTCCGCGATAGTATATGTCTGTCTTTTAAAATTAACTTGCAAGAAGGACGGGACGCGCACGACGACGTGGGTAACACCTAAGAAATAATGGTGAGGAGGTTTGGAAAAACTAATTGTGATGCCTAAAATAACTTCTACGAGGACGAAGTCACGGGCACAGCTAGTCGTAAACAATCTGTAGAGTTAGTACTTACACTACTAGAATTAATATTGGATTAAAATTTTAATTACATTATTGAAGTGATAACTTCTTATCGAAGGGTAAACAATTTCATTACGTAACGCGTTATGGCAGCAATCTGTCTCGATTCTCCTTTTCTAAAGCATAAGGTAGCGAGGTGTAGGATGTATTTTATAATAACATTTTGTCCCGTTACGAGAAGCACACTTATTTGTTAAAGACACCGAGAAGTTTATGATAACTCTATCAAGTAATTGATTGAAAATATTTTTAATTTAAAATTGGCTCAGTACGATGTTGATCAGCGGTTCCAGCTCCGCGTGTACTAAAAATTTCATACAACTACTTTCTAATTTAAAAGATTTAAGTAGGTATGTAAATTTCCAAAAATCAAAATAAAAACAATTGAGATCAAATAAATAAATGTAATAAGGCTATCCATAATAGTGTCTAATTTGTTTGTTTGTTTTTTATCAACTAATAATCTACTGATACCAGTAAAACATTTTACAAGTACACAAATAGGCAAAAGCTTCTAATTCTACACAAAGAAAAGCTTACTATATCTCGTCTTGTCATTCTGTTCAAGATCTAACGTTTTAATGAAAATGTTTTCTTCCACATCGCAGAATCCTTTGTAATGTAATCATTCTCTCACAAAGAAAAACTAATCACAAGAACTTAAGACTTATAGCATCACTCGAAACTTAATTTAGAAGCCCCACAATTTTCATTGAATTTCCCAATGATGAAACCGTGTTTTCACCTCAGCAGCTTTAGGATTCTCTTTGTTATAAGCGTGAAAAACCAATTTGCCCAGTGCAAAGATTTCAATGCTGTTTTTCTTCTACCAAGCATTTTCCTTTTTGTAAAACGTGAAACTCTTTCCCTTGTGTGGCATGTGGGGAAAACATTTATGTTGTTACTGATCGACTTCTGTGGCCTGCACGACCGAAGAGAGAGTTTGTTTGTATGTTTGAGCGCGCTAATCTCAGGAACTAATTTACTAAGGAACTTATGACAAATAGGAGCAAAGGAACTGGGGGAAATGTGAAAAAAACTCAATGGTTCTTCTATAAATTGTCTTAAAAAAATCTCCGCGTATATAATATATAACGACAGGCCGCGACCGACATCGTGGGATAATTAAATTTATATAGATGAACAGGTTTGGAAATACAAATTTGGATGCCCAAAATAACTATTCTACGCAGACGAACGCTAGCGCCATCTGTGTTTGATAATTTGAGGCCGTCCTCCCTATTGAAATGTCGGTGTTCTTTTTAATTTCAATTGCTTCGCGTATCGATCTTGGAAACAGCGAAACGTTAGGGTGTACTTAAAAATAAAAATAATTTTCAAAATAGTTCAACTAAAATATATCGCGTTTTAAACCGTTAAGTGTTTTAATTAAATGTGCACTATTCGCGCAGACACACGTATTTAACTTTAAATAGGAAGGTAATGATCGTTGGTAGTAGTGGCATTACATTTATTGTTCATGTTACTAGAGTAATTGTACGGGTATTTTCAAAGATTATTATAATATGTCGAATGATAAAGCAATTTATAGCGATAACCAATTTCATGTAGTAATTCTTATTTACTGCTTCATAACGTGATATATGGTTGTGTTAAATATTATTTACTTCTTAATATCAAATTACAGTTTTACATTATGTAAAAACTAAGTAATATTATGTCTTATGAATAGGTAGTTTATAGGCACAGGACCAAGAGACTTGAAGAATATTTAAAAAAATTTGCATTCAATCGAGATTCTTAAAACACATAAAGAGATTACTTAAGAAAATGTCTGTTCATAGAACTTAAATATTTTTACTGAGATTCTTTACTCAACTTCTTAGATTGAAAGCGACTCTTGCGTTGCTTGATTACAAAGTATAGTAGAAGAATAGTTTAAATATCGAATACTAGTGTTCTTTATTTTGTATGCTTTTGTGTCTGTCTACTGATACATTTTATGGTTGAGTAAAGTAAATCAACGCGTTTTTTCACTCAGCGATGGAGTACGTCAAAAAAATATGTACAATGGTTCGAATTTCAAATTTCAATATGTTTTTGTTGGATATACCATCTATGGAAGAAGGGTTTAGGCGTAACATCACTGCGATCAAAAAACGGGGAATCATTTTTCTTTGAGGGCTTCCGTTGCGTTCGCTACTACTAAGACTTTGCTAATCTAGCCTACTAGCTAGTGTATGATAAGCCGGCTGTCTTCTAGTCTTTATCAATCTGAAATACCGCGTAGTTTATCCCCGACGAAATCATATAACGATAACTGACAATTTTCGATAAACATCCCACGTGATCCGACAAAACCGTCAAATCAATTTATCTCTAAGGTGCAAAGAGTGAAGAGTGAGCGGTTGACAATAAATCCATGTTTATGTAGATACTAAACAGAGATCAATATGGACGCGTAACATTATGGCCGACACGCTTAAACTAAGGTCGGGGTTAGAGTTATAGCGATAGCGGGGATTTCCACCTCAGACTATATCAACGATTAGGTTGAACGTAACCTTAGGCTTGATATTCGATATTGAAAACAAATTTCAATCAATACATAGCGATTTATTTAGGTTAACTTAGTTTTAGCTTAGTTTTGTGAAGATTGGCTTAATTTAGTTCGTTTTAGCTCAGCTTAGATAGCTTTAGCTTAGTTTGGATAATAATCTACCGGTCGTGGATTGTGGAACAAAATTAAATCTGAATATTGACCATGATCATAAGGAGAAGAAGTGACAGATCGTATTCACCTAAATGTTTGTCGTCATCACAGTTTATTGGTTAAGTGTAGTAGCCTGGTTATATTGACCTAAAGCTTTTATATATTGATGTTAATTCTTGAAAGATATATAAGTAAACCTTTTAACCTTAGGTGCCTATATTGAGTACTATAATTGTATATCTTAATAATAATCTATTTTTTTTAATGTTTCCTTTTTTTGTACAATTTTCCTCCGTCTGTTGAGCCTATTTTTTTTTTTGGGTTGTTCGGCCGACGTGAGCGAGAAGAGGTTCGCTCCTCGATTACTCGAAGAACTATATTATAGTATACCATTATTCATCTTATGCTATATCATTATACTATAGTATAATATAATTCTGCGAGCAATCGAGGAGCTAACATCTCCTGACGATGCCATCCGCTCGCGATGGCAAAATATCGGCCGAACAATCCGAAAAACAATGATATGCTAAACGATGGCCGTGAAAGCCTTACACAATTCATTTGTTGTGTCTGTCTATAACTATTTTTATACAATTTCTTTTACCTATTTCACGTTATAAATTGTGATAAAACGTCCTTAAATGAATAAATAAGTGATCTATCAGTCGCTGTCATTATCGCGAATAATGCCACCATCGCCTTACAGACCAGTGAAATGGAAGTAATTTGTTTATCTGGAAAATGTTAAACCTCACAGAGCGGCGAGTAATATTTTTCCAGAAAATAAATTCTTATTATCAAAGAACCTTTCTTATTTATATACAGTACTAATAGTAAGTATAGCATTATATCTAACTGGAATGACTCAAATTTTATGATAGCGAGTATAGCATGTGAACAAGATGCTTCTAACTTTTTTGATTTTGAATATTCGAGAAACAACAGAAGAACGGAACGGAATGTCGATGTTCCTATCGCCCATTTAATACGCAGATTTCCAGACATACAACAATATACGTTCAACACGTTTAAAAAAAATTGAAACATGTTGGGGGTTGTCCATTAATCACGTGTCTTTTTTTTAGAATTTTTAAACCCCCCTCCCCCATTGGTGATACGTAGTGAGGTTTAAGACCACCCGCCCTCCCCCTTCTCAACATCACGTGTATTTTTAGTACCTACAAAGAATCTTAAAATTTTCTGAATATTATCTTAATATAAATACAGGTATAAACTATAAACTTATTTTATTCTGAAATTAAGAACCATAATAAAAATGTCTACACCATTTGTTTAAAAATCGCGCGTTTGACGAAAAAATAAATACACGAGATATATATAATAAATTACAATGTCATGACAGCTGTCATTATAAAGCTGAAGAGTTTGTTGGAACGCGTTAATCGCAGGAACTACAGGGTCGAATTAAAAATAATTCTAAAACGCGAAAAATTATTCATACTTAGTCTCCGTTGCGTGCGTTACGAAAACAGTTCGAAAAAAATATGTATCATATAGTATTTTTTTTTCAAAAGATCTAAAAAACGTCAGGGGGAGTATCTTTCAAAATCAAAACTACATTTTGATGGCCAAAATAACTATTCCAGGCTGACGAATCGCGAGCACGGCCAGTATTAAATTAGACATTTAGTTTTCAATTAATATAAAATACTTATTA